GTTTTTTTGCCTGACCCAAGCCATGGTATTTTCAATAACTTCACATGCATGTGAAAGTTGGCCAATGAATAAAGAAGACCATGGAAGAGTTGATGTACTTGAATTGTGGTGCTGGAGGAGAATATTAAAAGCACATACAAATCTGTATGTGCTGCAAGAAGTACAGCCAAGAAGCCAGAATGGCCAGACTTCGTCTCTCATGCTTCGAACATATTATTGGAAGGGACAAGTACCTGGAGAAGGGCATCATGCTTGGTAGAGTGAAGGGTCAGACAGGAGGAGGAAGACCCCCAATGATATGGATTGGCACCATGACAACAGCAATGAGCTCAAGCTTAGCAATGACGGTGAGTTTGGTGTGGGACCTGGAAGTATTTCATTCTGTTGTGCATAAGTTAGCACCAACTCGACGGCACTTCACAACAACATGGCCATTCTGTGAGGTTCATCAATATACCCTTCCCTCAGACATCCTTGTCACCAATATTCCAATCCTGTTTTGTTTTTCCAGGCTCGTGACCACTCAGTCAAACCCAGACCAGCTACCTATGGACAAGTATAGCACCACACGTCAATGGCCAACTTTGCTTCAGGTCAAATTGGTCAAGCAAATACATTCCTTCAAATTATGTCCATTGGCACGCTTTCTCTTCATTACTGCTCTTCAGGGCGACCTCTGAAAGAGACTGTAAGGCAATTGCCACCCATTTGGGTTAGTGCCAGTATCACATGGAGAACATACATACACCAGGCCTGAGAGAGGCCACAGGTGTGAACTGAGGGGTGAAAGAGGCGATGAAACTTGACCCACTTGCCTAGGCGATGTATTTGTGCCTTCAGCATGTATTTCAGCCCAATCTCATACACCATTTCCACCTAACAATGGATTGCTGCTAAGCACACTCAGCCTTATGGCTGCCTAGGTATATGAGCTACACCAAATTCATGAGCGGAAACTCAGGGCATGGTTACATGAGGTTCCAAGCACTCGGTGTCTACAAAGGGTCGGGAGCAAGTCTGGAGATTTTACTTAAAAGGACAGTTATCTTATGAGGACATGTCTTTATTCCTAAACTGTAACTGTCTGTGCTATAACTCTCCCATTAGTGGTCACCAGAGGCTCCAAACTGCACCCTGATCTGCACCAGACATTCTGAGTCCTTCAATCGGTGGAGCTCAAGCCCGGGTGGAAGATCATCTTGTGCTGCAACCTGCACTTTCTGAGGTTTCTCAGCTCTGAGCCACTCCAAACTGGCAGACGTAGGCAGTTCTTAGTAAAGGGCTGCAGTAGCTCATTCAAATGAGGCATATGTTGCCTCTAAATCCAAAAGGCCCAGCAGATGGTGTGCCTCTTTCTTTTAGGGTGGTAGTACAGGTGTAGCGATGTGTCTCTTATCAAAGGTGGTATCTCTAACACTTCAGACCACTGAACCCCCAGAAGCCAATGAAAGGGCGCTGAATTTTCATGGGCCTTACTCCCACATTTCAGTTTAAACATGTATTTCTAAGCACTGAGAGTATTTGCTCATCAGTCAGCACAGTATCATTGATGAGGTGATGTGAAGGAGCCATGGTAGCACTGCAGTCAAGCACTTGGCTGCTAAGCAGAACGTTGGCCAGCCTCAGCACGGGAGGATGATGTGGCAGCCTGCAGTTGTAAAGATTTGCAACCTTGGAGGTTTGACTGTGTCCTAGAGGGTCACCGTGCACTAGAATTGACTGGACGGCTGTCATGGGGGTGGGAGTCACGTGGGGATGTGAGGATGTGCGCAGTCTTAGTGGCTTATACTTTGCCTATCTTGAGAGTTGTTTCCTGCAGCCAAGAGACTGTGGACCAGCTCCGGGCCGGGCAACATGGAGAACTTCGCTACAATCTGGTAGTCTGCAGTCATAGCTCCTTGAAGGAATCTGAGCCTAAGTTTTGGGACGGCACTTCAGTTCCAACTTGGTCCTTCCTTGGGTACTCCCCCACTGCCCTAGGTATCCTTTAGCAAGCTTTTTACTTCTTTATTGTTGTTGTTAAGTGGGTTCCGACCTGTAACAACCCTGTATAGGTTTCCGAGGAATGGCTGCTGAGTTTGCAGTTCAAGCGGTGGCTTTGCAGTCCAGTCATTAACCTACAGTGCCACACCAGGACTTACTTTATGGGTTACTCCTTTATTATCCCATAATGGATCTCATACAAATTGTATGATTTGTCTCCCAATTGCACCCAGACTGATACAAGATTAAACATTAAATCTAGACTCTTTGCTAAGTGCACCCATTATCAATAACTAAGTCTTAGCGAGTCCTCCTGGTCATCATTAGGTCCCTGGGTGGCACAAACAGGTTGTGCTTAATTACCAACCATCACATGGAGTTGTTAAGAGTTGAAATCAACTGGGTATCTAGTAACAACTAACGTAAAGGTTGGCAGTTTGAACCCATAGGTATTACTGCAGAAGAAAGTCCTGGTGATAAGCTTCTGTAAGCGACTATATTTAAAACCCCACTATGGAACAGTTCTGTTCTATAGCACAACTGCAATCGTCACTGGGATGATTTGGGGGTTTACCATTATTACCATAATGATCAATGTGTAATCATTGTGGAAAGACCTTTTGGCAAATACTGAAATCCTGTTCAACGCTGAAGAATCATACTGGAAGAAAACCCCCTGGATGTGATGCATGGAAAAGGCCTTTAGCCCAGCTCAGGGATCACTCACAACACCTCTGAGCTCACTCAGCAGTCCCTGAAAGATGGCGATGGGTCCATGTATTCACCACAGCACGAGTCACACGTGAGAAAACCTTACAGACAGAATACAAGGGGGCATCAGGCAGTTTGTGGAACAATTCCAGTATCTTTTCCATGAACTCTTTCAAGTCCCCTCATAAATATGAAGAGGCTTTTAGGGATCACTCTTCTTTAACAAACACAAGGGAACTTTTCGAATAGCGCCAGTGTGGGGGGAAATTTTGCTAAGGTCGGTTCTTATTCAATCCCACAGAATTTGTCTGATAAAGAAGCTGTGGCGGGGGTGAGGACAACGGCAGGAAGCAGGAAGAGACCATTAGAAATGTATTTTATTTAGTTCATTAAACGTGATACTCTTTGAAATGCCAACCATGGAGACATGACCAAAGAGATTCAGACAAGGGCCTGAAATCTGCTGATGGGATAACTTTAACCCAGATTTTTATGGGGAGAACAGTAGGCTCAGAGAAAACTAGAAGAAAACTTTTTTTTAAAAAAAATCTTCATTTAGTAAGTTTATAATTTGCTTTCTACTAAAAAAAAAAAAAAAGAGCTGTTATTTTTATTCATTGTGTGTTGTTGAGTTGGTTTGGATGTATAGTGACCTGGAATAGTGTTTCTGAGGAGCAGCTGGTAAGCTTGAACTGCTGGCCTTACAGTTCAAACCGACCTTACAGTCCAGTGCATTAACCTGGAGTGTCACACCAGGACTCCGTGTGTGTGTGTGTGTGTGTGTGTGTGTGTGTGTGTGTGTAAGGAGTTGCAAAACCAGAGTAGGTGTAAATTCTAGTAAAAGAGAACCACGACTAGAAGTCGTGAACTGACAATATACAGCCAACTGTGACCAACACAATCATGGTACAGGGGCTTTTAAAGTCTGTGGCAAAATGGAATGAACTTTTTGAAGCTCTCTTGTATTTTTGAACTTGAATGATTTTCGGTGAGCAAGTGATTTCTTGTTTATCCAAGTTCCTGTCCCACCCTATATATCGCCTGTGATTTCTTATTACCAATTACGTACCTGCCTGGCTCATGACGGTGTTTGTAAGCCCCTGAAAACTTATAGAACATTAGGATGATGGGCTACCATTTAGGACTTTGCTTACTGGACTACAAAGAACACTTTGCTTACTCAAAGTATCTGGCTCACCATCGTGCTTTGTGATCCCAGAAAGGAAAAACAAAAATCCAAAAACATACTAAGGGTTGCTGGTAGCATGGTGGACTTCAAACTACAAGGCTGACAGTTCAAACCCACCAGTCACTTCAAGGGACAAAGATGAGGCTTTCTGCTTTTGCAAGAGTTTAAAAACCTTGGCAATACTATACAGGGCCGCTATGCGTCTAACCCGACTCCACAGCACTTAAAAACAACAACAACAACAATGGATTACACACCTGGTATATGCCCAATGCTGTATCAGAGTCCTGGGACACATCGTCTTGTCTAAGCTAGGTCAAGTCCCTAATCAATTTCTGCTCTCCTTGCCAAAATGGTAGACGAAGTAAAATGATTTGGCCCAGATGTTGAGCTGTATGTCTGGAGAAGCAGATGGAGGGATTGGAGAAGCAGAGCTAGGGCAGTGGGACCTTTCAGAGCCGATCCTGCCACTAAGGGGACAGAAAGACTGTGACTTGGGTCAATTCTCGTTGTCAGTGTCCAGGCTGTAGAGTTGCTGAGATGGCCTTTTAACATTAGGTGACGATGTGGTTAAAGTTTACAGAGCAAATGAGTTTCCTGATAACACTTGTTGCTTTATGACACTAGGGCAATTGCTCCATGTATCAGCACTCTTCCCACTTCCTCCCTGGGTTCCCCATGTCCTGTCCTCTTTCTTTCCTGCCCCTTTGGGCCTTCTGAACTTTGTTTTTGGACAAACGCTCCCCCTTTGGTCTTGCATGGATGACTGTTCCGAGGAGCAGTGTTCTGTTCACATGATAAGCCTGTCTATTGTTAAGCTGAAAGGAGATCCCCAGAGGTGGGTTCAGTTACAGATCTGAAAGGTGTCTAAGGGTCCATTTATCATTTCAGTCGAAACTTACTGATGTTTTCACTGATCGTTACCTGATTATTTCAAAAAGATTTTATTGTGAAAAATACCAGAAGCTATTTACATGCCAAGAAATATCAGGATTAAATAGAAGACATTAATTATTATGGATAATTTCTTTTTCTATACAAAAGCTAATCATCTTAATAGAAATTTAATATAAATAATTGAAAAAATCTGTGCCAGTGATTGCAAAGCAGTTATCTGTCAAACTGTCTCCAGGTGAGGCACCCGCTGGGGGCTCCGGCGCCTGCTCCGAGCCTGGGCAGTGAGTCTCTGGCGAAGTTCCCTAACCTTCTCTAAGAGGCCTGCTTCCGAAGCATTCTGTTCTGGTTTTCTTCGGCTTAAAGAACCTCGAAAACAAAATGTAAAATCAACAATTCACAAGAATTTCCTTTTTGGAGGTTAGCAGTACTACCACATTGACTTTAAAGGCAGATGCAAAACCCCGTCATGAGACGAGTATCCTGAAAACAAAATTTCTTTGTTAAAGAAATCTTGTTAAAGATGTCTGACGTAGTGCCTGGTCGTACTTGGGGTCAGGTATGAGCCACACGTTTATTTACTGAATGGAACGAATGGTCCCAGAGAACTGATCTACGCACTTTGGAAGGGATCTAAAATATAGGAAAACAAAATGCCCTGCGTCAAAGTAAAAATCAAGATTATATACGAGGGGGCTTAAATATATAGAATTAAAAGATAATAGGATATTTCCGTGAATTTTTTGAAGCCCACCTGTATATAATTTTGTTTTTCAAGTTGATGCCATTGTAAACCTTTTGCCCCCAAACCTGATTGTCTGACTAGAGCTCCTAAGAAGTTTCTTTGTGTTCTTTATATGCCATCAGCTATTGACAAAACACATGTTTTTTAGTAAAATAAACTAGAAATAGTATTTTAGGAATAGGTCACATTTTGGTGGATTCAGAGGACAAGGATCATGAAACTGCAGAACTACAGGATAGCTCAGACTCTTTTTAAATTGGAGTTCTGTGTTTTCAACAGTGCCACCTCCTGAGTTCACCCCTTCCAGCCCAAACACAGGGTGACGATACTCAGGGAGCCATCATTTAAAGTGAATTTGCCTCAAGGAAAGCTTCATTCAGGAGAGCATACCTCATTAAAGCAATGGGTCTGTCGCAGCCATGAGCACTCACCTTCACAGCTCGGATTTCCAGCATGTTCTAAAGCATCACTCAGCTCCTGCTCCAAAAACCACCTTCTAGACGCATCTGAAAGAGCAGACGCTCTCTTTCCTGATTTCAAATGGCACGCTTTCTCTTCAGCTTCCTGCCACTAAGAACAGTTTAAAGAGAGACAGACAACAAGAGAGAACCTGTGAAAATGTGAGTTCCTACAGGGGCTCCTCTGCCCCACTTCCATTCCCTCTAAGGTGCTCAGGGTCCTCCTGGTATGCTGTCCATTTGGGTGTCAGCCTAAGGCTAGGAAGGGTGGGACAGCAGAGGCAGGTTTTATTATCCCTCCGCCCCTGAGGGGGCCACTGTGCACACCCAGAGATAACAACTAACAATAGTTGAAATAGCAATTAGGAGCTTGATTACACTAGCTTTTAAAAAACTAGCGGCCACCGTGTTTGATTTCACTGGGAGCTATGCCTCAATAGCAAAGCCTTTAAGATTCAGAGAACGAAGCCTTTGTCCAGCTCGGGTACACACAATGTCCTTAGGGAGGCCAAGGGCTCACGACTGGCCCTGACTTCCTTCTCCATAAAATGAGCGAACAATCATCTTAGAGTTAGCTCAAAGGGGGAAAAAAACAAGTAAAAATTACTATACAACTCCTGAAAAGCGCCCTCTTTTACAAGCAATCACACTGGCATTTTCTTATGTTCCAGAGCAGCTCAGGTGGAGCGGGGAAGGAGGCCCTGCATGGGATGGACTGACACGTGGCTGCAACAAGGGGCTCAGAGCAGCGGCTGAGGACGGCGCAGGACTGGGCAGTGTTTCCTGGTGGTACACACAGTTACTCTGAGTTGGAGTTGGCCTGATGGCATCTAACACAAATATCCTTGAAAATGGAAACCAGGCACCTGGAGGTGGCGCAGCAAGGCAAGGAGACCATTTCCCTGAAGATCTGAAGCCACAATACTAACCCTGGACTGTCCCCACCCACCTCCCTCTGGACAGCCTGAAGTGAAAAAGAAAAGCACTTCTATCTTGTTTACAGTTGCTGTGGATTTTGTTATTAACAGCTATTGTTGTTGTTGTTAGGTACCATCGAGTTGCAGCCGACCCATAGCAACCTTATGCACAGCAGAATGAAACACCACCCGATCCTGGGCCAATCTCACTACTGTTGCCATGCTTGAGTCCATCAATGCTGCCACGTGGCCAACCCATCTCGCTGGGGGTCTTCCTCTTTTTCTCTGACCCTCCACCTTATCAAACATGACGTCATTCTCCAGCGACTGGTCCCTCCTGACAATGTCTGAAGTATGAGAGACAAAGTTTGGCTATCTTGGCCTCCAAGGAGCACTCTGGCTGCACTTCTTGCAAAACGGATCTATTGGTTCTTTTGGCAGCCCATGGCACTTTCAGTATTCTCCTCCAACACCGTAACTCAAAAGCATCAATTCTTCTATGGTCTTCCTTATTCACTGTCCAGATTTCATATGCATATGAGGCTACTGAAAATACCATGGCTTGGGTCACGTGCACCTTAGTCCTCAAACTGACATCTTTGCTCTTCAACACTTGTGCAGATTTGCCTAATGCAATACGTCGTTTGATTTCTGGACTGCTGCTTCCGCGAGTATTGGTAGTTGATCCAAGAAGAATGAAGTCCTTGACAACTAGTGCAAACTATTCAAAACCTTTTCTATCGTTAAGTATAAAGACGTATGTCAACTAAATACTATATTATTATCCAATTGGGCACAACACATTTAGGAAACTAAGACACTGAGAGCCACATTAGTGTAAATAAGACACATCTCAATTGTCTGTACTGGGATTGCTTTGCTGGGCAAAACCTATTAAACTTAGATTAGCTCTACGATCGATCTTTTCCTAGGAAAAGTACTTGGTTTGATGATTTTGTCATTTCATTATGTGACATTTCCAAATTTCAATGTTTGACAAATAACTAGATTACAATCCTTTTCTTACCTTTTCTGTTTCTGCCCCCATCATGGTATTTAACACCTCTAATTCTTTTCTTCTGTTATTCCGAAGGAGTTTGGTTACTTCCTGGTAACATTCGTTTCGTTGTAGATCCTCACATCTTTGTTTATGTAAAGCCTGAATTCTCCAGTCAGCATCAATACACGCTTGTTCGGCATTTGCCAGGTTTTCTTCAATTAACTAAAAATGGTTGCAAATTACAGAAACACGATCTGACTATATACAACTACGGAGTGTCCTCCACTCAGTGTAACCCAATTACCTAGGGTTGTTGTTGTTGCTATGTGCCGTGAGTCGGTTCTGACTCATAGCAACCCTGTACAGGGTTTCTCTGAGGCTGTAAATCTTAATGGGAGCAGAAAGGCTCACCTTTCTCCCGCAGAGCAGCTGGTAGTTTCGAACTGCTGACCTTGCGATTCGCAGCCCAATTCGTAACCACTACGCTACCAGAGCTCCTACCCTAATTACCTAGGGTAGTGGTTACCAACCCTGTGTATAGGAATCACTTGGGAACTTTTCAAACGGCTACTGATGTCCAGGCACCACCATCACCACTGGGGTACTTTAAAAGCTCCTCCGGTGATTTCAGTGGCTAGCCAAGGCTCAGATGGGTTGTTGTGAAGTGTTGTTGAGTTGGTTCTAACTCAGAGGCATCCTGTATAGGGGTTCTGAGGAGCGGCTGGTGGGATGCAACAACATCCAGACTTCCAATATTTTCCGAAAGGAAGAGCTATTCTGGGCACCGGCCAGGAGGCTGTAGTAGAGGAGGAGGTCAGGGATGCTTATATTACACCTGGATTTTGGAAAAGGGCCAGGTCCTGCCACATTCTCATTTAATATTTTGGTAAAGGGATATGAGAAAATTCTTTCCTGAAGGTCTCAAGTTCTATTTCAATTCACTTAGGCCAGGATTCTCCAATGGGAACTCTATGAGAAATTCTATAAACGGGTTTAGGATGTTTTCCTCATGGTTCACAGTATACAATACACTCAAATTTGACATGAAAGAAGCCTAATTTTAGGGGAGCGTTTCCAGCCCCTATTTAATTGACTAGTAGCTATGGATGATGATACATTCCACAGAGCATGTAAATGCCGGCAGACCTGATGTTTTGAATCGCATCTGTTTAGGAATAATTTCTGAGAAGCACACCACAGAATAGTATAATTAATTTGTAGAGTTATTATTTCCTTTGTATTTTCTTGTCTAAACATTCTCCAAGGAGATGAACAATACATATGGCTTTATATGAATTAAGGAATCTTGGTGTGGTGCTACAGGATAAGCACTGGACTGCTAATGGCAAGGTTGTTGGCTCCTTGGAAACCTTATACAGGGTGGTTATGAGTCTGAACCGACTCAACAGCACTTAGCAACAACAGCTAAGATAAAGAAACACATGACTCTAGGAACTGTGATAATTGAAGCAAAGAAATAAACTGAACTCAATTTTCCAGAGTTACATTTTGTATTTGTTCTTTTAAAAAGACTACAGATGGGAACCCTCCCTTTCTATTTGTACCCTAAATTGGCCAAATTTTTACCTTCTGAGTTTTCAGGCTCTGAGCTTGATCTGTTTCTAAGAGTTTATGAAATATGTGTTCCTCAAGATCTACTTTTCGTCTGTGGGCATCTGTATCTTCTCTTATCTCTCTGGCAACATCTTCTTGATTTTTAGTAAGTTTCTGTTAAACCAAAAACAGTTTGTTTTAAAAAAAAATTACTGATATAAATATAGTAATGTCAGAACACAGAAATCACACTTCTTCTTTTCAGAATACTAATATGCACAGAAAAAGAAACATGAAACCATCTCATTTTCAGAGTAAAAATCAACAGTGATATCAGCAGAAATGGCAGAGTAAGGACCTCCAGAAATATGCTTATCCAAGAAGGCACTGAGAGCACTGGGAAAAGTTGTCAGGCCCCTGGAGACAAATCACAGCTTTCCCACGGGGTGTTGTCTGTCAGTGCGCTGGGAAAAGTTGTTGTCAGGCAGGCACTGGGAAAAGGCAGCTAAAGTGGACATCTTGGCTAGGTGGCTTGTGCCTTTGCTGACTGTCATCTGCAGCTCTGGTAGCATAGTGGTTACAAGTTGGACTGCTAACCTCAAGGTCAGCAGTACAAAACTACCAGCCGTTCCGTGGGAGAAAGACGAGGCTTTCTGCTCTCATGAAGATTTATAGCCTCAGAAACGCTATACAGGGTCACTATGGGTCTGAATCGAGTCCATGGCACAACACCTTTCAATGTGATAAACTGTAAACATTCGTTTCTGTGGGTCCTTCGAGCCCATCATTAAAACCAAGGATGATCTTAGGGACTCCCAACACAGATACATACACAGTATCTCATTTAATTCTTACAGCAACCTTGGCAAGGCTGGTGTGCTTAAGGAGAGGGCCTGAGAGATAGACAGAAGATGGATGGGATGAGACAAGGTCCGAGGAAGTGAGAAGGGGATGTAGGTCAAAGAACCATTATTCTGCCTGTGTGTTCACTTGTTTTGCTTAGATATTTGGAAAAATAACTCTATTCAAATTAGATACAGACTGTCAAACTCATATTTCTAATAGAAATAGTCACAACATTGTATATTATCTGGGACATAATTGGTTACAAAGAGATGTATTTAACTGACCTAGTGTAGAAGAAGTTTAAGAAGACCTGGTACATGGTATGTAGATTACACAGCGGGCTGCTAACCAGTGCTCCTTGGGAAAAAGATGAGGCTTTCTGCTCCTGTAAAGATTTATAGCCTCAGAAAGCCTACACAGGGTCACTCTGAGTTAGAACTGACTTGAAGACACACCACCATGAGAAGTTTGGCAGGTGAAGTGACTATCGCTAAAGCCAATTTGAAAAAGGTAGTAGTGGCATATTTACATACAATTGACCAGATAAAGTGCAGAACTTTACAAGTTAGTTCTCTTGAGTAGTTGAACTCTTCTCTAACCCTACTGTTGTTGTTAAAGTGCCATGGAGTGGTAGCAACTCACAGCGACCCTGTATAAGGTTTCCAAGTTTGAACTGTCCAGTGCTGATCCTACAGGGCTACATCAAGACTGTCCTATGAATACTGGTTTCCCTTGCCTACCTATTGTAAAATAGACACTTTGAGTAGGATAGAAAGGAGTATCGGGAAACATGATTACAGAAAACTTGTAAGCTTATGGTTTCAACATTAGTTTATGGGCACAAATGAGGAAAACGAATATATTTAAATACAAATATTCTTTTGCTATTCTGATACTTTAAGAATGCATAATGCTTTCTCCAAACAATACATAGTTATACTAACAAAGTTTATTTGCCAGTTTCTTGCAAACTATATTGTAGGTATTAGCCAAATATTTGCTAATTTGATTCCAGAAGTTTCAAATTCAAAGTGCTTTACAAATATGCTTGATTTACCTTCCAAGATCCCGTTGGTTTGCTGGGAGAGTTTGCAGTTACTATCTCAATTACATGGAAGCATGGTGGCTCTGGATACGCACTGGAATGTGAACCTCAAAGTTGGTGGTTCAAGTCCACCAGCTGCTCTGCAGTAGAAAGAGCAGACTTTCTGCTCCAGCTGAGATATACAGCCTCAGAAACACTATATATGGTTGCTATGAGTCAGAACCGATTTGACAGCACTTTAACAACATCACAATTACATCTGGTGTTTCAGTTACTAGCCTAAGTTGCTGACAGAAACATGAGCTGAAGGATTACAACAAACATTCTGACTACCCTACAACCTTACATGACACTGTATTTTGCTTATAAAACATAATGAAAACACACACACAACACATGAATGAATAGAACCTAAAGTCCTGGTGTGTCACTGAAAAACACGCACTGGATTGCTAATTGAAAGGTCGGGGGTTCAAACCTACCGGTTATTCCTCAGAAATCCTATACAGAGTCTTTGAGTCAGAACCCACTTAACAAAAAACACCAACAAAAAGGCTTTGCAGAAAGCATGCTTTCCTTAGCTTGGAAGTACAAGCAGCTGATTTATACCTTCTCGTACAGTCTCTTCTGCGATTCGAGTTCCAGGTTTCTCATTTCTAGGTCTTTGGCTGTGGTAGCAATTTCTTGATCTCTCATATAGATCTGTGTGGCCAAGTAACAAACTGTGAGTACTAAGAATTAGCAAAATAAATTTTGTTTTACAAATTTAATAATCTTCTAATTTGAACATCACACTAAAAGCAGTTCCTAAGAGTTGATTTTTGAAATCAGAATAACTGACAATGAACTACTGTTGGACTATATTAACATGAGGAATCTAGGACTAATTTCTGTGTTAAAGTTATGCTAAATTTGGGAGGGGAGGAGGGAAGCAAGCACACTGACCATATGCTCATCTCCCCAGACTGTGACAACAGATGGCAGATCCTCCCACACTGCAGTAACCAATATTATGAGTTAGAAAAACTTGAACAACTTACATTTCAGCTAGAGATATAGTATATTTAATCTAATTAAACGTAACATTTACTTAATGCTCTTTTTGGTTAAATGTCTAAGTTTTATAAAAAGCAAGGCAATGAATAACTCTAGGCTTACATTTATTGTGAACTATTCACCCTGTGGAGTCCTGGAGTGGTGCTGTAGGATAAGCACTGGACTGCTAGCCAAAAGGTTGGCAGTTCAAACTCAGCCACTCCTTGGAAAGGAGTTGCTACGAGTCAGAACTGACTCGATGGCACTTAACAATAACAATTCCACTTGTAGGTGTTCTGCTACAGATTTAGTTTACCTTTCTCTAAAGTGTTCTGTGTTGGAAACTTTAATACCTGTATACTAGAGGGTAGGGATAAGGGCCTCTCTCAGTTTGAGAATCTTAGGAACCACATTCAATTCTTAGCTGTCTGAAGTATCAATTTAGTGGTGAAAAGTGCATGGTACATGCTTCAAAATTTTAAAAATCAAGTAAAAGCCATCTAGCCTCATTCACTGATTCAGCAAACACTTAAGGATTGCATCAACAATTGCATTCATAAGGTACAGTGATAAAAACAAGTGACCTGCTATCTAATACCTACAGTAGGACAGGCAGACAAAAATGAGAACACAGTGGGATGTTCGAGAAGGACATAAACTAAAGGGTAAAAGACGCATGAAGGTTATTAAGAAAGTAGTTCAAATGCTTGAGTCAAGAAGGAAGAGTAGTAATAGAGGCAGAGGAGAGGTTTGGCCTAGCACAAAATGCTTTTCTGGAATATCAATTAAGCTTGTTTGCTTATGAATTTTCAGACACAGAGAAGGCAAAACACATCAACTCTGCTTGTTGCTAACGGATGTCCATAATCACTTGTGTGTGTCACTTTCATGCTGGGTTTTCAAACTGTGATTCAAGGAGTTTTTGCAGTTGGTCAGGGTCCAAGACAACAGTGGAACTAGGAAAGGGAAGGTCTGAGATGACATGGGAACTGGGAGACAGAAGGTCTGAGGTGACACTGGAACAGGGAATGGAAGGTCTGAGGTGACAATGGAACTGGGAGAGGGAAGGTCCGAGGTGACACTGGAACCAGGAGAGAGAAGGTCTGAGGTAACATTGGAATGGGATGATGGAAGGTCTAAGGTGACATTGAAACAGTGAAACGGAAGATCTGAGGTGACACTGGAAATGGGAGAGGGAAGGTGTGAGGTGATATGGGAACTGGGAGAGGGAAGGTCTGAGGTGACATTAGAATTGGGAGATGGAAGCTCTGAGATTTTATTGGAACAGGGATACGGAAGAACAGGGGTCAAAAGGCAGGTACAGGCTGGGTCAGGCATTGAAAGGACTCTGCAGGAATCTGTGACCAAAAAAATCACCTTCCCCTACCTCAATGGGGCTTGGGATACAGAAGTCAGAGTTCTGAGCCTGTATTAACCTTAGGGAAGAATATACATTTTCTTAAGATAGATGAAATGAGTACATAGGGTCGCCAAGAGCCAGAACCAATTCCATGGCACCCAACAAGATGGTTAAACGGAAGTAGATATTTTTCAAAACCAATTTAAAATTAATTTGCTTGAAATGAAAAAAGAAGTATTATCTCAGGACATGTTATCACAAGGGACCAGTTCCTGGAGAAGAACATCTTGCTTGGTAAAGGAGAGGATCAAAAGATCCCCAATGAGATGGACTGACACAGTGGCAGCTGACAATGAGCTCATCAAACAGGACCAGTGTGAGGTGGGGACAGGGCTGGGCAGTGCTCCTTTCTGTAGTGCAGAGGGGTCACTGTGAGTCAGAACCGATTCAATGGCACCTAACAACAACAATAAAAAGGAGAGCTTTCTAACACAAATGAATTAATCATACCTTAAAAGGCTGAAAAAAAAATTAGTATTTTATCAAAACTTGGTTTGAAGTTCCCTGAAGTAGACTGTTTCCCCAGTTGCTAATTTTCCCCTAAATTAATCCATAAATTCAGCGCAATCCTAATAAAAATCTCAATAGGATGTAGGGATTCAGAGAGAATAATAAATTTTCAAACCCTATTTGGAAAAATAAATACTGCAGAATACTGAAGAAAATTCTGAAAAGATGAACAAGTGGAAAATAGGTCTACTGTTGTTGTTGTTGTTAAGTGCCATCAAGTCGGGTCCGACCCATAGCGACCCTGTACAGGGTTTCCGAGGGTGTAAATCTTTACGGGAGTAGAAAGCCTCATCTTTCTCCCGCAGAGCGACTGGTAGTTTCGAACCGCTGACCTTAAGGTTCACAGCCCGAAACACTACGCTACCAGAGCTCCTTAGCGAGTGGCAAAACATTGCAAAGACACTGTCATTAGAACTGTGGAACTGGCCTAAGACTAGAACAACGGAGGTAGTCAAGTACATAAGGGAACTGAATATGTGATAATAACCAGCTGGCAAATGGCTTTGACGACATTCAACAAATTGTTGGGACAACTGACTTCTCTTTTGGAAAGAAGTAAGCTTGGTCCCTAACTTATTCCTTACACTTAATTTTCAGAAAAATCAGAAGTTAGCAAACGTTTTTGAAATAAGCTGTATTGTAATCACTGCTTATGTGGTAACTAGGCATCTCACAGCCACTGAAGTACAGAAGGCCCTATAAACAGTATGTAAATGACCGGGTATAGCTGTGTTCTAGTAAAAAAGGATTATATAAACCATGGCATAGACATGCTGTCATAAGAAATAGATCCAAATATACTAACATGAAAAAATATTCAACTGTTGTTGGGTGGGGGTTTGAACTGCCGACGTTGTGGTTAGCAGTGTAGTACTTATCCTGCAGCGCCACACCATTAAAACAAAGCAGGCTGCAAAACCAAGATGTGCTGTTTGTTAAGTGACTTTGAGTCACTTTTGACTCATAGAAACCCTGTATCAGGTTTCCAAGGAGCGGCTGGTGAGCTTGAATCACCAACTTCGCAGTTCAAACCAACTTTGCAGTCCAGAACATTAACCCACAGCGCTACATCATTAAAACAAAGCAGGCTGCAAAACCAAGATGTAGAGAGAGAATAATCCCATCTTTGTGTAAATATAAGAAAACAGGAATCTATTATTCTTTATCTTTAGAAAAACATCTGAAAGGCTATGCATTTAGGCATTTTTAACAATCTACCTCCAGGAATGAACTGAGGGAGAGTGAAAGAAGTCTATTTGTTTTATTTCATATATTTTATATTGGATAATTTTGCTTTCATTGCCCATGAGTGAATTTTACATTAAAAAAGAACAATTCCCCTAACTCACAATTAACATAATGATTCACCAATACTGATGGCTATTTCTAGATAAATAGTTACCAAGGAGACTAGTCAACCTAATTTTTTCTGCCATCTCTAATCACTTACTGATTAAAGAAAATCTAAGGAGAAATGCAAATAAAATCAGAGCATTTTGATTTTATTCATTTTGAACTCTTGGAATAAGGTGTTCATTATATTTAAATGTGAATGTGTGGAGATAGAGTCTAAGAATCAAGAAAAAAATAATAAACCTTTCTTTCAATTTCATCATCTAGTCTTCTTAGTTCCATTTCACGTTGGTCTTGCTGCTGCTTCAGAAAACGCCTTCTGGCAGCATCTTGTAAATGGATTTCCTTTCGTTTCAGCTCTCTCTTCACAGCAGCTAGTCTTGAGATACAAAATACATTAAGAGGAACAAATAAAGCCTTTCCCAAGATAGATGTAAATGGGAACATAGTAAGATTCACAACAGGAGCTGCTGGCCACCTATTTTAAGTCACTTTTCCACTTTAACTGGTGCCTTTAACACAGCTGTACTCATAACGTATGAAAGATGCCCTATTACAAACAAGTCTACATTCACGAAGATGACAAACGGCCCACAGACAACTAACTGGCTGTCCTTTTCATCCTCAAACACCTTCCACAGGTCCACTACTTGAACTATTTCAATACATCTCCTATCGTTTATTTGAAGTAATGACAAAAAGTATGTTCTGATGTTACCAAGGATGATGCACGGCTATTCTTTAGTCAAAGGCCAAAGGCTCAGTTCCGGAAGGCCTTTTAACCCTCACTGGAAAGCTGCTGCATGTCTTACTCCTCAAGATTAAGAATCAATACACAGCTATGGAAATGAGAGTTTCCTAACAATTAGCTTAGTCTCATCACTCATCCCATAATTTTAATTACCTTAAAATTTTTTATCTTATTTGGTTATTTCTGGATAAGCACTGAACACTTCTCTCCCTGCCCTCCAAAGTATAAGTTGCCTAACATTAGCGTTAGTCACTTTATGTACCAATTTTCAAGTCACACAAATAGACATTTAAAACACAATTTAAAAATTAACTTGCAAATAGTACCCATTTGACCTAGCCTCAATGGCTTGATAATCAGAACTTGACTAGAGGAAGATGATTAAAAAAACAAAAACAAACCGTTTTTGAAAAGAAAACGAGGGTAAATTGCTACAATTTGATGAACTTGACCTGTACTCATAGAAGTAGTAACTCTAAATACCAACTGAGAAGGAAGGAGTCTTCACATCAAGTATCAATGCTATCCCCTCTGTACACAGGGTAGATAGGGACGGGCAACTTAGACACTGGCTACCTAAAATGCGGGGACGATAAAGGCACGGAATGACTGGCTTACAAGGTTTTAAGAGGGAGTTTAGTTTAAGAGTGTGGGGGGAAAGAAAGAGTCCCTACTGAATAGCTGTCATCTTGTCTAGATGGGTCTGGTGAAAAGAGAGGGGATAAGATTCTTATGATTGATTCAATAGTGATTAATTGTTATCATAACTAATTGTAACTGTCACAATTGTAAAGGTAGAAGTTTTGTAACAAGAACGGGGAGTGGTTAATCTTACAGTCCAGGAACAGAGGATCCTAGGGCCATCAAGGGAGAAGAGCACAAGCGGAATGCAAGACCTTATCCAGAGAAGCAGCAACACCAGAGATGGAGGCAGAGAGGGGGACATAGAGAGAGGGAGCAGCTGAGGACTCTAGATTTATGGAAGAGAGGGACTGAGCTGGTGGCCAGGAGGCAGACTTGTAGAATGTGCCCTTTGGTGGCACAGTGTTTTTTTAAAAAAAAAAAGAGCTAAAGTGAATAGAGAGAAATACTGTTAACTGATGGTACATGGAGGGGATTACAGTCACTGCAATGAAACAAAGCATATGATTTGCTGAATGTAAAAACTGATGATGTGCCCTGTACTTTCACTCAACTCACAATAAAAACTTAAAAAAAGAAAAAAGATTATGCTCACTAAAGGTGATTTAGAGTGCCGCTGTGGCGCTGAGGGTTAATGTGCTAGACTGCAAAGTCAGTTATAACCGCAGGGTCGGTGGTTCAATCTCACTAGCTGCTCCCCGGAAACCTTATACAGGGTCGCTGTGGGTTGGTACCAATTTGACGGCACTTAACTACAAAAGGTGATTTACCTGGCACTCTGCTCTGAAGTATGTCTGCCCTCTGTGAATAGCAAATGTTTCTAATAATGTTCTCAAAGGGGTGATAAGAATGTGTGTGACTTCTGTAAAAGCAGTGCAAAGCTCTAACACATTTAGTGTAGCTTTAGAATTGACTACAGTTTATTTACTACATCCCAATTTTGTAAGATGAGGCTTTCTACTCCCGTAAAGATTTACACCCTCGGAAACCCTGTACAGGGTCGCTATGGGTCGGACCCGACTCAATGGCACTTAACAACAACAACAACAACAATTTTGGAAAAGTAGTATATACAGATTTCTTTTTTATTAACTTAAATATCTGCTTTATGGAACTGCTACAGCAGGATAATGTTATATTTAGTGTTGTTCCTATAATGAACGAAAATAAAAAAGATTGAACTAACTTATGCATCCAGGATTTCTTCATGCTAAAACATACCTCTGTCTTTGTTCCAGCATCTTCTCCTCTTCTCGAAAGAGAATTTCTCTTCTTGTTTCTTCAGCTTTACGAAGTAGCTCTTGTTTCTGGTACCAAGCTTCATCTTCAGCTCTTTGCTGGTCTACTTCATCTTGCATATCTTCAACTGTCTGCCTTAAGTACATAATACAAATTTACTATTATGGACACTCAAGAAAGAGAACTCTTAAGTAATTTTAAGTCAGAGAACAACCAAAGTATAAAATGTGAATCTGATTAATGTGCAATTGAGTTAACATCTATATATATGAGGATTAAATATTTTTAGATTATTTCTAGTTCCAAATTCAGATTTTATATCAACACTTCATAATTTAAGTGTAGTACTCATTTAAAAACCCTTGTCATATATATAACAGATTCTGTTTCTATCAGACAAAGAACTTTCTTGATTACCTCTCTCTTAGGTAATCCAATTCATCATTCCGTATTCTTTCTCGTTCCTGTGTCTGAAAATCCACAATAAATTTTGGATATTGATTAAATATTGGATATTGTCCTTTAGTCAGTACGACAAAAGCATCAAGCATGCTCTCTGGATGAATATCAGCAGGTGTGGTTTCCATGAGGTGATAAACTTCTTGAATTACGACATTTATATCCAGGTTGTTCCGATGGTGAAAAAAATACTGTAAAAAAATTATGTTTCAATTGGGATTTACAATGAAGAGATAGAATAAAAACAAGTTTTAAAAATGTAAGTGTGAATTTGTCCTTAAAAGTACATTTTTGTCTTTTTTTTTTGCAAATTCACTTGTTTTTCTTAACTTTAAAAATATTCAATTTCATATTTTCAAAGTGTAATAAAATATCATGACCATATGATTAACTTTTGAAATAAAAAGTTAAAACAAACAAAATTAACAGTCAAAATGAAAGCTTTCTTTACAATAGAAAAATACATGTTTCAACAGGACAACTTCTGCTTGAGTTTTCTCCAAAATCCAAAATACATTAGCTTTTACAATAAATTAGATTTTTAAAAAATATCTGTAATATTTTCACAGTTTATTATTATGCTGGCAAATCTAAATTATAAAATATATATATATATCACCCTCTCCCCCAAGACTGAAACTCAAAGGGAACACATGAGCAGGCATGTAAGCTTGCTGGTGACCACATTGGTCTACTGGTGAGTGGAAGTGGGGGAAAGGCAGCAATGAAGAAATGGGCTGAGTTCAACCATGTTCCATAGACTCCCGTTGACCTGGAGATGAGAGAGAGAAGAGGAAGGGCTGGATGGTCCAAGGTATGGTGAGACCTGGGGACACCTGAGCCCATGGACAAGGACATAGCCATAGAGGGTTACAGCTGAGAGAGAAGCACCCAGCTAATATGAAATGAGGGGAAACACACAAGAACACTCAAGCTTGCAGATAGTACCCCATTTGACCTAGCCTTGATGGCCTGATAATCAGAACTCAACTAGCGGAAGATAAAAAAAACCATTTTTTTAAATAAAGGAAACAAGGGTAAATTGCTACAATTTGTTGAACTTGACCTATACTGATGAATGTAGTAGCTCAGAATACCAACTGAGAGGGAAAGGGTCTTCACATCAAGTATCAATGCTATCCTCTCTGTATACAGGGTAGACAGGGATGGGCAACTTAGACATTGGCTACCTGAAGTGAGGGGATGGTAAGACACGAAGCTACTGGCTTACAAGGTTTCAAGAGGGAGTTTAGTTTAAGAGTGTGTGGGGATCAGGGCTCAACCAGAAGAAAGAAGAGGAATAAAAAGAGGAATCGGATACAATTTGATGAACCTGACCTACATCTATGGATGCAGTAGCTCAAAAGAGAGAACAAATTTTTACAGCGAGGATCATTCCCATCCCCCCTCCATATACACAGAGTAGAAAGGGATGGGCAACTTGGACATTGGCTACTGAAAATGGGGGGTCTACAAAGGCAAGAAGTGACTGGCTTACAAGCTTTCAAGAGGGAACCTAGATTCAGAGGGCGTGGAGGAAGACAGAATCTCCACTGAGTAGCATCCAATCTGTCTAGGTGGGGCTGGTGAAAGGAAATGCAGATAGGTCTCTTGTGATACAATAGTGAATAATTGTTATCAGGACTGATTGTGAGGGTTGGAAATGTAAAGGTAGATGTTTTGTAGCAAAAGGAAGGGCGTGTTTAACTTTGCAGTCTAGGAGCGGAGGTCCCTGGGACCATCAAGGGAGTAGAGCTGAGAAATGCAGTGATGCCAGAGATGGAGTTAGACCCAGAGAGGGAGAGGGGCTGTGTGCTGGGGGCTGTGTGCTAACGATCGGGGGGGGCTGATGATGCATGGAGGGGATTGTAACCATAGCAATGAAACGATATACGATAGAATGAACGTAAAGCTAATGCTCTCCCATATAAACTATCACATAATGCACAATAAAACATTAAAAAAAAAAAGTGTGCAAAGGAAGGCAGAGTCCCCACTTAATAGTTTTCATCTTGTCTGGATAGGTCTGGTGAAAAGCGATGGGGATAAGATTCTTATGATTCAACAGCAAGTAATTGTTATCATGACTAATTGCAATTGTAAAGGTAGAAGTTCTGTAACAAAAACGGGTGAGTAGTTAATCGTACAGTCCAGGAACAGAGGACCCTAGGACCATCAAGGGAGAAGAGCACAAGTGGAATGCGGGACCTTATCCAGAGAAGCAGCGACACCAGAGATGGAGGGAGGTAGAGATGGGGACATGGAGAGAGGGAGCAGCTGAGGACTCTAGATTCATGGAAAGAGAGGGACTGAGAGCTGGTGGCCAGGAGGCAGACTTGCAGAATGTGCCCTTTGGTGGTGTAAATTATTATATATGCCTGAGTGCTTAAAAAAGAAAAAAAAGCTAAAACGAATAGAGAGAAATACTGTTAACTGATGGTACATGGAGGGGATTATAATAATCATTGTAATGAAACAAAGTATATGATTTGTTGAATGTAAAACTGATGATCTGCCCTATAAACTTTCACTCAAATCACAATAAGAACTTGAAACAAAACAGAAAACAACTAATGTACATAAAGCTGGGAAACTGCAGCACATTTTCTTTTTGTTTTATTATGTGAGAGTCAGTAATGTCCTAGATAATACAAGTGGAGCAAAACAATGGAATTAAAAAAAAGTATATATATGTGTATCTTGTGATCATAAAGTAAAATATTTAACTTGACAGGAATCAAAGCAGAAATTTTTTAATAAATCAATTCATCTTGTCTACCATAAGAGCCTCTTCTTTTAAAAATCGCCACTAATGTTTTCTTTCAGTCACTCTCCTGACAAGCATCAAAACTCTCAGTTACCATTTTCCTTGGTACCAAGCATCCACACTGTTAACACAAAGATCTGTCATTGATAAGATCAGGCACGGAACAAACAACCTACCGGTTAAACATCCTTTATAAAGCCTTTTTAACATGAAGCCTCAATAGTATCATGATTCTTTACTGAAGTTACAGTTACAAGAACTAAGGAAGCTGCTATCATTGCCTGTTTACTGTCTAAAAACTAGGTATAGGAAGCGCAGTGGCTCCACAGGGTAAGCACTGGACTGCAAACCACAAGGTCAGCAGTTCCAGCCTACCTGGTGCTCCGCGGTAGACAGATGAGATTTTCTGCTCCCCTAAAAATTTTAAAAGACTTGGAAACCCTACACAGGATATTTATGAGTCGAAACTGACACCATGGCACTTAACAACAACAACAACAAACAGGAATCTGGTCTATTTTGTTCACCATATTCCTCGCATTGAGGACCAGTGCCAACCATATTAATAGACACTGTAGGATCAGCAACGGACAGCTAACCACAAGGTTGGAGGTTCAAACCCACCAGCCACTCCTCAGAAACTATACAGGTCCACTGTGAGTGGGAACCAACTTGACAACACCTAACAACAATAACTAAATAACGGCTTTTTCATTCCTTTGAAATTTGAAACCCTCTATTTAAAAACAAGGATGCTTACCTCGAAATCATCTTTAAGATTACAGTTGAGCAGAGGAGCTCGAGAACACACATTGTAGGCGACAACAGTCATGAGGAGAAATGAAGGGTGGTTGGAAAAGACATTATCGAATAATTTCAGCCACTCCTCCCGGGTCAGTACTTCTGAGAACACAGTTTCAAGAAGAGGCCATGCATATAGCTAAAACAAAGTTTCAACAATTTGTTTTCTATGCAAAGTCTTAGTAGAGTCATCGCTAAAGTCAAAATTTAAAATATCATGAAAAGAACTAGCTTAATTTAGACCTTTTATTGACTTTCAGGAAAGCAGTTTAATGAAGAAAAAGCATGCAATAATACTACTGTTAAAAAGATAAAACATAACATCTTTGTATAACAGCAATACTTATACCAGAACCGTTAGCTTCTAAACTAAGTTAGTTATTATAAAAACCTCACACTTCATACCTGGGACGTGACCTCATGATCCATGAAGTGGTGCAGCAGTTCTTTGTCACGAAATGCCAAAACATTTTCTATCATACTAAGAATATTGATAGGAGGATTCGGGAAATATTCAAACCAGTGTTGGCACCAATTAACTATGAAGAAACAAACAAAAAAAGAAAATGTATCTATTTAAAGATAGCTATTAAATAGCTTTCTCTATTATCAAAAAACTACAGATTCCTACATGTATCCACTCTTTATGTCATCAGCATGCCCATGAATAAAGGAACTCACACGATTAAATTCTAGACAAAAGATTAAAACAAAAGTCTATCATGTTAACATATTATCCTAGGTGTGCAGAGAGTTTGTAAATTTCTCAGTAGCAGTCAATGAAAGTATCTATTTAAAACAACAACAACAACAACAACAAAGGACCTTCAGAGCAGCCATCTAAGGTGCAACTACTGTTCTCTCTCATCTGGAGCAAATAAGAGTGAAGAAAATAAAGGACTCAAGGAAACAATCAGTCCAAAGGACTATGGGCCATGCAAACCCCAACCTCCAGGGCAGACCAGAAGACCTAGAAGGTGCCTGGCTACCACTACCACCTGCTCTGAAAGGAATCACAATAGAAGGTCCTGGACAGAAGGGAGGAAAACGTGGAGTACAACTCACAATCATAAAAACAGACTAGACTTATTGGTCTGATAGAGACCGGCAGAACCCTTGCAGCTGAACCGGAACTCACCCTGATGGCTGAATTTGCAGCCAAATAGATTTGTAAAGGTGAATGTGGCTCTGTGGGTTAATGCACTGGACTACAAAGTTGGTTTGAACCTCAAGGTCGATGATTCAAGTTCACTAGCTACTCCTCAGAAACCCTATACAGGGTCGCCATGGGTTGGAACCGACTTAACGGCACTTTAACAACAACATAAGGTGAACAATAACACCAGAGAGATAGGCACTCCCTAGAACCAACCATACAGTACCAAAACAGCAGCATTTTCCCAGGATACCGCTCAGAAGACAAGGATAGGAAAGGAGGAATGGGAATGAGAAACACAGGGAAGAGTGCTACTACCTTGGATGACATCAAATGTGCGTGAACTGCTGACTGGAGAACCAATCTGCTCTCTCAAACTTTCACCCAAGTCACGCACACACGCGGCCCTCCAAAGTATGCTGATACTGTCCATTGGGAATTACAATTTATTCGGGCTCCTAAAGGAGCTCTGGAGTCCTGGTGTGGTGCTGTGGGTTCATGCGTCAGACTGCAAACCCATTTGAACTGCAAGTTTGGGGGTTCAAGCTCATTAGCTGCTCCTCAGAAACCCTATACAGGGTCGCTATGGGTGGGAACCGATTCAAAAGCACTTCACAACAACAACAACAACAACAAAGGAGCTCTGGTAGCGTAGTGGTTACGAGTCAGGCTGCCAACCTCAAGGTCAGCAGTTCGAAACAACTAGCTGTTCCATGGGAGAAAGATGAGGCTTTCTGTTCCCGTAAAGATTTACAGCCTCAGAGACCCTGTACAGGGTCGCTATGAGTCGGAATTGACTCCACAGCACATAACAACAACAATGTGGTATGTGTTTAGATTTTCCTAATATGCAAAATAATGGCATTTGAAGATTCCTATTGAAGCTTTCATTGAATGTGATCAGTGCTAACTTGCCAATTTGAACGATCTGTATTAAAATTCATACTTAATTCACAATTAGAAAAGTTTGGGGATTAAGTTCATAGTTACATTTATATACTGATAGCAACATACAGACATAAATAGGCATCTCCCTTACATGGAGTCTTGGTGTGGCGCTATAGGTTAATGTGCTGGACTGTAAGTTTGGTGGTTCAAGCTCACCAGACACTCCTTGGAAATCCTGTGCAGGGTCATTAAGAGTCAGAACTAACTCCACAGCACTTAACAACAACATCCCTTACATACAAGGGATCTATTTAAATTAATGAGAATAAAAATATCCCTATTACTAAGAATATGACTGTTTTATAAATAAGCAGCCACCAGAATAGCTTTAAACCTGCCAATGACTTGACTTTGAAAACCAACTAATCAAAAGCAATGACATTCTTCGAAAGTCAGAAGGTAAAAGTGCAATGAAAGGGTTTCAACTCACTTGCATTTGGAACCAATACAACATCATACAGTTTCTCTGCAAAAGTTCTGTAAGATGATTAGTTTGTTTGGCTCAATGAGCCTATGCCTAGCATGGCAGCGCTCCCTTACTTGAGTAATTAATAAACTTAAGTGTTTTCGTTTCAAATATTGGATGGTGGCTTTATCCTTTGACATTAAAGTTGGCTTCATCTTTCCACATTAACATCTTCACCATTAATAAATTAGCAAAGAAGGCTTTTTATCAGCAGAATATGGGATTACATATGATTTATATAAAGTCATTCCAATTCTAGAATTCCATTATTTCATTTATTAGTGAGCCTTTTTAAATGGCATACTTCATTGGAGTTAGTAATTAATTCAAACATTGAAAGGAACATTTCAGCTTCTTTAAACTATTACATAAATTAACTTTAAAGGAAAAATCTGACTCAGTTACACTAAGTAATATACAATGTCTTACTAAGTTAACTTATTTAAAAGTAGCAGTTTAGAATTTAAAAAGTTACGCGCATACACAAAAACTCTTATTATAATTCAATCTTCATCAATAAAACACTGTTTCCCATTAGGCAAGACACAACTGCCTAAAAGAGTAACCATTTGCCTTCTCTTAAGTGTTTGTATTCTGATTTGGTGTTACCAGAACGAAAGTATGGGAGAAGACTTACAGACAGAAATGATCAATTGCAGAATAAAGAGAAATGGCCACTGCATGAAGATCTGTTACTAAACCCAAAGTTAAGAATGTCCCCCTGACAAAGTAGAGAAGGGTTGGCAAGATGGGTGAGTGGGTTAACTCTTGTGTGGAGGGGGTTGTAATCATTGAGATGAAACGAAGTGTATGATTTGTTGAATGTAAAACTGATGATCTATCTGTTCTGTAAACCTTCTTCACTCAATTTGCAATAAAAAGAATTTCCTCCTGATTGCAGAGATTCCAGAGCCTATTTGAAATGAACTTCATAAAAAGAGCATTCCTGTGAAACATTTTATAAAGTCTAAATGGTGTAAAGTAATGAGGCAATTACCACTAATCTATAATGGGAAGCATTTCTGAGCATTCCCAGACCCAAAAAGGAACCTACCAAACCAGACCAAATACGACAGTCACATAGAGTTCACAGACATAGGTCAAAGCGCTCGTGGCTGGCTGCTAAGATGCTCAGTGAAGTTACTGGGGGAGGAGCTTGGTGACGCCACTCTCTAAGATGGGTGCTGAACACTAGTTTCATGCTTTCCTTTTTTCACAAAAGTGGAAATCCTCTTTGGGTTTCTTTCAGGTACTAATGGATTACTTAACTGAAGTGGTGTAAAGTGAACTTTTGAAAAGTGGGGGGACTCAATTCACAATAAAAACTTAAAAAAAAAGTGGGGTACCTGTATGTCCCAATTTATACAATGAAGTGACTGTTTCCTTCAAAATCTTGTGGTCCCATCTAGACGAGATACACAAGAAAGTCAGAAACAACTTATCCCAAGCAGAGGGAAGTTGAAACTCAATGTTTCTGAACAAACTAGCTTAAAATCCTTTGTAAAAACCCATAGCTACTATGTTGACCACTGAGGGGACAAAGACCCCTTAGATTTAGATTTCAGGCGTATTTCTTTACAAGAGAAACATTTCTTACCATACAATCATACTTTGACTATATAGAGATTTTACTGGAAATAAAATATAAAGATTTGTATGACTATCTAAATAGAATGGTTCTTTTTCTTTTAAATAATAAAAAGGTAAGTAGTGTTTTTAACTGGGTAAACTAATACAACTCTTTTGAGGAATCAATTAGAATATTTATATTTTATGACCCAATTATTCCAATTCTGAAAATCTGACCAAATAAACCATATACGAAGGTGCTAGTAACATTGTTACTTTTAATCGGCAGTAATCAGAAACAGACGGTGTCTAGTGGCACAGTGGGTAAAGTGCTGGGCCACCAACCAAAAGGTTGGTGGTTCAAACCTACCAGCTAATCTGGAAAAAGATGAGGTTATAAAAAGTTTTATAATCTTGGAAACCCTAAGGGGCGGTTTTACAGGGCTGCTATGAGTTGGAATTGACCCAATTACTGTGTGGGGTTTTTTTGGTTGTTTTTAATGAGAACCAAACCTAAGTGTTCAATAGTAGATGAAGCCACTATAGAATACTGTTGTTGTTTAGAGATGTTGAGTCAGCCATAGTGACCCTGCATAGGTTTTCTCAGGAGCAACTGGTGGGCTTGAACTGCTGACCTTAGGGTTTGCAGTCCAGTGCTGGTCCTATAGCACCACACCAGGGGTCCAAATAAAAATACGCTAGTGAATTTTACACAAATAAGGAACTATATGTGGTTCCATGAGTTTTTGGATATGGCTCGTCCAGCTATAGACTTTGTTACTCTCACCAAACAACTTGGTGGGACCATGCAGATTGGGAGTGTTCCTCTTTTCCAGGTGGGTCTGAGTAAGAGAAGGTGGGGAGATGCTGACAGGATTCTAAGATTCCACTGTGAGGAACTGTTAACAGGGTTCATTCTGATTATAAAAACTTGGAAACACTAATGTGGGAATCAGTCAATTTCACCATCCTGTTGGTAAAAATGAGCTATCTCAGCAGTAAGAAGAGAGGACTCACATTACCATCAAGAAATAGGAGTCATTACTGAATGTAAAACTGATCACCTGCTCTGTAAACCTTCACTCAATTCACATTGTTGTTGTTGTTAAGTGCCGTGGAGTCAGTTCCAACCCATAGTGACCCTGTACAGGGTTTCCAAGGCTGTAAATCTTTACAGGAACAGAAAGCCTCATCTTTCTCCTGCGGAGCCACTGGTAGCTTCAAACTGCTGACCTTGCGGTTAGCAACCCAACTCGTAACCACTACACTACCAGAGCTCCTTCAATTCACATTAAGGAGTTAAAAAATCAGAAGAAGCCAAGAGTGAAGTGTGTCCTTGGGACCCCATGATCCCTGTGTGCTAACCCCCCTCAATCCAGGATATCAGAGGAGCAGCAGCAGCAGAATCAGAGCCAGAGGCTGAGACAGAGCAGGGGGCTTCCCAGCCAATGGAGTGAACAAAGTTGGGAGCCTTCAGGTGGGCAGCAGGGTGCCTCCAGACAGACACTTCATTAGGGGAGCTACACTGGCTGACACACAGAACTTAGAGCTGGGTACCTTCGGTACTCTTTGAGCTTGTATCAGCAGCGCTAAAATAGCTTTGTTAACACCTGTCCAAGCAGGGCAGAAGCCAAGGGGTCTCGTGGCTAAGAGGCTGAGGACCAGAGAAAGGCCTGTCTGCAGGCATGGCTGGAAAGAGATCGTCTTGACCAGATAACTGTTCTGAGCATTTCTGATCCTAAATTGTAACCTGTTAACTTTCCTAATGGACCCCCTAACTGTGAATATGGCCGATGCACTGCACTAAATTACTGAACCTAGAACAGACAGTGCCTGGGAGGGTTAGAACTGGTAGGAAGGACAGAGGGCAGCGGCATGTCTGACATCAGCCTCAGAAGGATCTGCTTTGGGTGATTGCTGATGGTGATTCTCTGCTACTCTGTGAAGTTAGAAAGGTCATGCCATTTTTTCCCAGTGTATAACATATTAAAGAAAATCAATATAATTACAATAGGCTGTACAAACAAACACCTAAAAAAGTCCAGTAGAAGGGGAGTAGATAAATTAAGGGATGCTAAAAAAATGGAATATTATACTTTTGTTGTTGTTAAGTGCTGTCAAGTTGGTTCCGACTCATAGGTTTTAAATCTTTGTGGGAGCAGAAAGCCTCATCTTTCTCCTGTGAAGCAGCTGGCGGGCTCAAACTGTGGGCCTGTGGTTTACAGCCCAGTGCTTACTGTATGGAACCACCACGGGCAACAAATTATGTTTTTCAAGAACATGTAATAATCTGAGGGGAATACTTTAGAAGAAAGTCATCAGAATATTATTAAAGATTAATTCAGAATACAAATACTTAAGTATTTTGTCTTTTGGATGTGTTCCTTTTCAAACATTCTCCAATGATCGATCAGTTAAAATGTATCAAAGCAACTGCAACGTCATTTGTTAAAAGTTGCAAAGGTGCACAGGACATGGGGAGACACATAGGGATGCACTCCTGGTATCGCGTTTTTTTTTTTTTTACTTACTTATGAGAGTAGCAACAACTTCAAAGCAGATGAGCTGATTGTTCTGGAATAATTTCACAAACGGGAACGCCAAGAGAGGAAGATATGGTGTGTCGCTAAAGATGGCAGACCAGTGAGCTAAGGCAGAGAGAGTTCTGTGCATAATGTGAAGAAAGCACAGACCAGAAAACAGTGTTCGATTAAAATTACTTGATTAAAACAACACAATCTCATGATAAAACACATGACACAGAAGGTATATATTTGGGGAACATTTTCCTTCCTACCATCTAGTCCACTTCTCTAGAATCAACCACTGTGAGGAGTATACATTCTTCTTTCCAAACATCACAAAAGGCGGTATATTATATTATGATATATGTTCTGCACATTCACATTTCAGTGAAGTGTACCTTGGAAAAAGCTCCTATCAGCATACGTAGAACTTTCTCGTAAGGTAAGAGCTCCGTATGGATACACTTCAATTCCTTGAACTTGGCTTGGCCTTCACTGAGGGTATTTGTTGCCCATATTTTATAAACAATATATTTAATGCCACTGAATGTACACTACTCTTTATGTGAGCATATAGATTTGGATACCCTCCTAGAAGTGGAAATGTTGTGTCAAAGCCTAAGTATAGCTGTAATTTCAATAGCCAGAAGGATTTGTTTTTCCTGGACAAACACAATGCCCAGATAAGGGGATACCTGTTTTGAATTAAGAGACCTAAAAGATGTATCAACCAAATGTAAGGTGTATACCTTATTGGACCCTGATTTGAACAAGTTTACCATAAAGAACAATGACAAAAAAAAAACAGTCAAGGATAAAGGAATGCTAGCTGGGTATATGATAATAAAGAATTAATGACAATTATTTTCTTGGTATGATACTGGTAGTGTGTTATGTTGGAGAGTGAAGAAAAAAAACACAGTCCTTATTTTTAGATACACACAGATTGTTTAGCTGAGGAGGTGTGTCTACGTGGGAATGGGATGGGGTGGGGGTACAGCGTGAGAGGGCATACTGACCATGCATTGGCAACTGTTACAAGATGGGTTAATGGGTACAAGGCTATTCATTATACCATTCTCTCTAAGCTTATACATGCCTGACATTTTTCATAGTATAAACTTAAATCTTAAAAAAGTCTCAGATTCTAGGGCCTGGGCTCAATCGTTTATCTAAATCTCTCTATACCTTAGCTCTTCTCTAACAAATAGAAATTGGTACCTGGTGCATAAAAGTTCTCTAAGGTGTTAACTGTTATTACACATATTTAGTGGGTGCTTATTACGTAGCAGACGTTGGCATACACATTCTAGAACAGACTGTAAGTTTTACTTTCCCCATAATCGTATGGTGTTGGTCTGACTACCTCCATTTTCAGATAGAGAAACGAAGGCTGAGGAAAGGAAGGTACCATATCCTACACCAGAGCCAGGAAGTGGTAGAACAAGGATCACAACCAGGCTCTCTGACTGCAAATTCAAAGCACTGTCTACGATGCCTCTTTGTTCCATTAGATTGACTGCCAGCCCTATTTTCTAGAACACAACAGAAGCTGATATTCAAATGCAATATATGTAAAATACAACTCTTGTTTTCTAAATTAAATGAACCAACCCACAGTATGGATGATCAAAGATGACCAAAGACTATTTCATAAACTGAGCATTTCAGAATACTGTAATTATTAGTTATAGATTCCATATATCTTATTGCAATGTATTGGGCATACCTCTGCAGTACTCTGAGAAGCTTCCGACTTTTGATGGGGTATTTCTTCTGAAGGTTGAGGAATGCCACATGGACCCCCTTATCGATGAGGCAACTAAATGCAGTATGGTTTTCCGGCAGTTGCAGCAGACAGCGCCAAATGAACATTCTGAAATTGAAGAATGGTTTAAGTCAAGAAGAAATACTAACATTGTGGTAAAACTGATATATAACATGTAAGAACTAAAAATTTACCTGTATTTCGTTGGGTATTCACCATAGCCTTTTAACAGGATCTGGAGACGTTTTTTATTTAATCCGTCTGGCAATTCATTCTACAGTGAGGAAGACAGCATCAGTGAGTAACATAATCTAACACTGAAAACAGGACAGCGGGGTTCCAACTTTAGAATGCAAGAAATGCGTTCACGTCATGGGGCCTACTTATGCTTGCTCCTTGGAACTCGAACATACACATTCACGAGTGTACACATACACAATAGATAAAGTTTCATGATACACAAGGGAGCTTCAAACAGTTCATGGGAAAATTCCATTATCTTATTTTTTTGTGGGGGGTGGGAAGGGTAACTTTTAATTCCATTTTTCCACAACTTTTTTTTTTTTGGACTGTGCAATTCAACTTTTTATTTTAATAAAATCAGAATATGCACAGCACATGCATTGCTAGCATCTAAACTAATACAATAAGCACTTTTTTTCTTTTAAGGGGTTAGATACTAAGTATTTCATGTTTTGTAGGTCAAGAGGCAAAATCAAAAACATTGTGTAGATTCTTACGTAACCACGTAATAATGTGACCATTATATAGCTGGTGCAGCAGAGAGAACACCGCCCTTGCCCCTTCCACCATCTTTCCCAGGTGGCCCTGAGAACCTCGACAGGCCACGCCTATCCAGAGAGGAAAAGGCTCTTTTTTGGGGGGAATCTGAGATATACCTAAGATATTGACGTAAAAGGCTTCCCAACAAATTCCTCAGTAGTGAAGCTCAAAGCCAACTAGCCCACTCACATCCTCAGACTTTCTAACCACCTTTGAACCGTTCTCTGCTCTTGTATCATTACCAGGTGGCTAAAGATTACCAGAAGCACGGGCAAAGCCTCTACCACAAATACAAAACGCAACTCAGAGAATGAAGAAAACATTATCACCTGAAAGAATAGGGTGCCATAAAAAAGGAATAGTTTTCCTCTTGTCTACATGGGTCTGGTGAAAGGAGATGGGGATAGGGTTTATCTGATTCAATAGTGAGTAATTGGTATAATACCTAATTGCAATTGTCACAAGTACAAAGGTAGAAGTGGTGTAACAAAAAGGGGGAAGTAGTTAATCTTACAGTTCAGGAACTGAGACCATCAGGAGAGAAGAGCATGATGGGAACATAGGACCTTATCCAGAGAAGCAGCGACACCAGAGATGGAGGCAAAGATGAGGACATGGAGAGACGGAGCAGCTGAGGACTCTAGACTCATGGAAAGAGAAAGGCTGTGTGCTAGGGGCCAAGAGGCTAGCTTGCAGAATGTGCTCGTTGGTTGTTTAAATGATTATAAAAGAAAAAATCTATGATGACTTGGGGGGAGGAGGAAATGATACATATGTTAGAGGGTAGACACGGGTGACGGGGCAGGCAACATACAATCGAAGTTAGGTTGGTAAAGGAAAGAGGAGACACAGGGAGGAATGCAGTGGTTAAAGTGGATAGAGAAGTAAATGCTGTTATCTGTTGGTGCATGGGAGGAATTGCAACCATGTAATGAATGAAGCAAAGTATATGATTTACTGAATTTAAAACTGATGATCTGTTCTGAAAACCTTCACTCAATTCACAATAAAAAGTTTTCAACAATTGTTAAAAGGAGCATTTAAAAATTAAAAAGGTTTGAAATTGAAAACCATGAAAGCAGAAACGGAAAAAATTACAAAAATCTCCCAAGAAGTAGCATAGAAAGACTAAAGAGAGGAAGAAATCAATGAAACAGTTCCAGAAGTCCTCAGAACTGAAAGACATGAATTGTGCAGCTGAGCAGATGAAAAGAGACCCAAAAAAGCACATGAGTGTGAAATTTCAGAACAATAGAGACAAAGAGAAGATCTTACAAGCAGAGACCCAAAACTAATGTCTAACTTCTCAACTGTCACACTGAAAAAAAATCAACAGTGGAGCAACACCACTGATCTCTGAAAGTATCTCTAACCTAGAATTCTAGCCCCAAATTACCAGCTGGATAGTATAGACAAAGGACATTTTTAGACCTACAAAGTATCAAACTAAAATTATCTTTTACCTCTTGTGTTCTTTTCTGAAGAGTTACTGTAGAATATGTTCCCTCAAAACCAAAGTGTAAATCAAGAAAGATTTTATCTAGAATAATTACCCACGAGAAGGAAGAGCAATGGTTACGTACAGACCACAGGACTTGTCCACAGCAGAATCATGACAAACAGAAATCTGAACTATAACATATTCTTACCTCTTTATTTTCAAAATTACAAGTCAGATCTTGTTTTAATATTCTTGTCTGTATTTTGCTTTCCTTTGATTTTGTTGGCCGCTGTACCCTTCCTGAAGTTACTTTCATCTTAAGATCACTGGATTTCAGTTTGCTCTTAGGCAAATCCTCAATCACTTTCACTAAAGGTGGAGGTGGCTAAAAGGTTAAAAAAAAAAAAGTCCAGTGACTACCCTGGAAAAATAGGTCTGTTAGTAAATGATTTTTTTTTTTTAATTGTTCTGATTAATTTAGTACCATGCCTTCATGCCTACTGCTATTCTCTGGGCAAAATGTAAATGCAAAATGCCTAACAATGCTTCCTTGTTGACCAATAAATCTAGGCATAGTTCTGCCATATGATCTCTGGAGATAACTAAGAAACAGGATCAAATAACAGTAATAATCAGAATTTAATGATTTCCCTTCAAGCTGATCTTAACTCATAGATCATCAAGTCACGTTTTTACGCTTGCAGTAAATGTGGAAACAAGCTTCAGTGGAGAAGATACATCGATACTTCTGGTCCTCCAAACGCAGAGAGCAGCGCCCTGACATTCTCCAGGTCAGATCAAACAGCCCTCAAAGAAGCTAGCAGATGACTGTCCAACTTGGGAACCATGAGCTCCTCCCTCCCTGTCCTGGACTAAAGTTTCCAATCTGCAGAGAGATGGCTCTGTTAGCCTACAACTGTGCCCACAGCATAAGAGGAGATCCAGGGAGCAAGACTGAGAATCCAAATCCTCATGTTTATGGGTCCCATGAAACCAAAATCAAAGTTTCAATTTCCTTACACTTATTCACAAAAACATTTTCTCCATGAATAATACTCTTTGGAATCCTAAGACTGTTTGAAATCATAAGATCCTTATTCAAAGAAAATGAATAGATACGGTGACTCAAGCTTTCTGAATTCTAAATGCAATTAAAGTACATGGATCACTTCAATTTTTCATCTATGAAAATAGCGGCCAGACATCTGAACTATCTTTAATATCTTTGAACTATTTTAGAGAGTTTCCAAGGAGCAGCTGGTGAGCTTGAACCACCGACCTTGTAGTTCAAATGGCTTTGCAGTCTGACGCAAAGACTCCTATATATATGTATATATATATATGCATTTTTTGTTTATGAAGAGGCATGTGTTACATAGATAATAATAAAGAGTTAAAGGAGAGAAAGGAGACAGTATACAACAACAACAAAAACAACCCCGCTGCATTCAGAACCAGGACACCTGAGCCTTCTAATGAGTTCCTGTGTGATCAATCTGGGGTACGAGCTTGTTCTCTGGAAAAGGAAAGAGGTAGACCAAGTGATCACCAAAGTCCCTCCCAGTGTTACTATGGTCTACCTCCAGACTGGGACGACTCTGCATAATCAGACTTGGCAACGGGCTGGGAAAATTCCAGATAAAACATAGAACAGGAGCGGGGAGTGCATGTCTGGTGCAATGATGAGCACAGGGACCGAGAAATGGATGAAAAGACACCAAACAGAGATGTCCTTTAGGACGGCAACTTTTAAGCAAAGGTGAGAAATCAAGGTTAGAGAAGGGGCTTCTTGAGTAAGTGCAAAAACCAAACAGAAAAGTATAGGAAACAGTTAAGTTCCAAGGAAGTACTAGAAATGTAAAGATATTGATCATATGTTTTATTTTTAAAAAACTGATGGTATTTAAGAGATAAGTACTGTTAACTCTTGGTACATGGAAGGGATTGCAATCACGTAATGAAGCAAAGTATATGATTTGTTGACTGTAAAACTGATGATCTGCTCTGTAAACCTTCACTCAACTCACAATAAAAAGGTAAAAACAAAAATTGATGCTATTTACTTGATAACATACCTTATTGATTTCTTGGGTTAGAGCCGGAACTGAGTATATGTTCAGACTCCCATTTTCCATAATGGATGCAATGTACCGTCCATGTGGACTAATTACGGATGAGTTGATCCCCTCATCAAGGCTCCCAATTTCAAAGAGAAGTTTACAAGTCTGTACGTTGATAAATCTCATGATACCATCTTGACTTAGCACACCCAGAACCTGAGAGGAGAAAGAAAAACAATATATGAAAACAGATGTGCAAGTCAAATGGCTGCAAGTCAAAGAAGACACAAAGAGCTCACCTATGAGGGGCATTAAAAACAGATATGGAATGAAAATCTCAGATAACTTTTCCACGAACTTTTGAAGACCCGCCACCTTGTAGGTGTGCTTTGTTCCTTGCGAAAGGTTTTTTGAGGGAGGAAGTCAGAAGACTCACACAGAGCTACGAGGTATTTCGAATCCCCTCATTCAGAAACCCTATACAGAGTTGCTTAACAACAACAATGGTTAATGCGCAAGGTTGGTGGTTCGAGCTCACCAGTCACTCTCAGAAACCCTATACATGGTCGCCATGGGTTGGAAGTGACTGTATGGTATTTCATAACAACAACAATTATGGCTCTTGTATACTTGCCTTGCTCAAGTCCAGATAAATCTGTTCTAAAACCAAAAGATCAGCGGTTCAAATCCACCTAGTGGCTCTGCAGGAGAAATGCCTGAAACTCTCTGCTTTCATTGCTGTTGTGTGCTGTGGATTTAACTTTGACTCACACCAACCCTGCATACGGCTGGTGGGTTTGAACCACCAACCCTGCAATTAGCAGTCCAGTGCTTATCCTACAGCTCCACACCAGGACCTCTCTGTAAAGATAGTTGTTGTTAAGTGTCATCAAGTTGGTTCCAACTCATACAGACCCTGTATAGGGTTTCCAAGGATGGCTGGTGAGTTTGAACCACCGACCTCGTGGTCTCTTGTCACATGACTCAACAGAAGCAGGAAGGCACATCCCCTGTGGGAGTATACAAAGGTGACTTAAAAACTTCTCAGAAGCCTTTGTACCACTTCTAACTGACCTCCAACAGAGGGGACGTCCGTGAGGAAACAGCTCTGAATTTTTACCTCCACATTGGCTGTCAGAACAAGGAGGGGGAAAGTTTGTGGTCCTTTACCATCCACACAGCTTCATCAGTGCTAAGCATCAGCCAATGCCCATAGGAGCCTGTGACCACAAAAGCCTGCGACCACACAAGTCTTCTCCAATGGTCATGTTTCCAGCAACTAACATTTGGGGGTGGTGGTGAGGGAAAGCTAAGAAAAAAAGGGGAAGCTAGTTTTGTAAGTGAGAACGTTTAAAAAATAACTCATATGATTTGAAAAATTAAAAATAAAAGTTTACCCCTTTGCTGTCTTTGTACAGTTCTTTTTCCAGGGCCGTGGGCTGGTGAGCAGCGCCACCATGTGGTGGCCTAAAACTCTGGGGCCCTTTGTTTGCAGGGGAACATCTGTGAAGCAAGTGTTTCTTCTGGTGGGTTTGTAGGACACATATCCTCTCCTTTGCAGTCAATGCAACCTCTCTGGAGGCAATTTGGCAAAATCTATACCTGAATTACAGAATCCCGGTGTGGCGCTGTAAGTAAGCACTGGACTGCAAGGTTGATTTGAACCATAAGGTGGAGGTTCAAACCCACCGGCTGCTCTTTGGAAATCCTATACAGAGTTGTTAAGAGTCGGAACCGATGTCTGTGGTACTAACAACAACAACAATCAGAATTACAGAGGCACATAACTATACTTATGCCACTAATTCAGTCACAGAAGGGCCAAGTGACATGATGTGCACAAAACATACCTCCACGTAGCACTGCTTGAAACAGAAAAGGACTAAACACAGGCTAAGTGCTCAATAACAGAATCACACGGGACAACTGGCTTTTTAAAAAAACTACACAACACCAAGCAGATGTAAAAAAACAGCAAAGTTATGTAATGATACAGAAGACTTTACAAGAAAAATCAAGTGAAGAACAGAGAGGGACAAAGCTGTATAAAACTATGCCGAGCAACAGTTGTTATGGGGTACGGTGAGTAACGGGGCCAATGGGAGACAGAAGTAACTTCAACAGAAGTTGTTTTTTAATATATTTTTAAAATGTGTTCAGCCATATGGATATGTTACCTAATCAAAACACTTGAAAAAGATTAAAAAGAGGAGGACCCCGAATGAGATGGGTTGATACAGAAGCTCCAACACAGTAACGATTGAGGATGGTGTAGGACTAGACAACATTTTGTTCTTTTGCATGGGGAAGCTATGAGTTGGCACCAATCAGATGGCACCTAAGAACAACAACAACAATTTAAAATGAGAAAGGTAAGTTTTGACCTTGTGCTTCGCAGTCCACTGCTGATCCACAGCACCACACCATGAGCCTGCAACTTCAAATCCTTAAAACAGTCTCAGTATGTTCAATAAGTAAGAGCTGAGATGAGGCTTTCTGCTCCCGCTAAGATTCACAGCCTTGGACACCCTATAGTGGTCGCTATGAATTGGAACCGAGTTTAAAGCCCAGGAAAAAAAAAATCTTAAACCCAGGGGTGACCCTTTAAAAAAAAAAAAAAAAAAAAAAAAAAAAGTTAGTAATTATATTACTAACCTGATTAGAACCAGCATCAAAATTATCAGGAAGAAATTCTAGATGGCGAATGGCTCGGACTTTTGTTGGCATCTGGATGATTCTAAATAGCTGTTTAGCTTCCAAGCACCACAGATGAAGATGATTTGATTTGCCTCCAGCAGCGAGGATGCGACCATCTCTACATAATGAAAAAGGTGGGAAGGTAGGATGAGTGGAATTGCGCCTAACAGCACTGTCCAACAGAACTTTCTGTGATGGTGGAAATGGTGTACATCTACAAGGTCCAAGAGGGTAGCCATGAGCCACAAAGGATTATGGAGCCCTGGAAATGTGGCTGGTGCTACAGGGGAGATGCATGTTCTGATTCTGATTAACTGAACTCTAAAGAGTCACACATGGCTAGTGGCTACCATATAACCAAACCAAACCAAACAGGTCAGGTTCCTAGGGTGGCTACAAGTTGGAACCTACTCAATGGCACTTAGGAACAACACCCATTTAACATCAATCACCATTTCTACTTGATGACTTAATTGGGGGTTTCCTGAGTAGTATTTCTATTTCAAAATGCCACTAAATGAAAATCTATAGTTTCACCACTTGTTAAAGTTCTTAAAACTTCTCTGTGTTTTAAAACGCACATTACCTGGTCACAGAGAACACTTTATATAATAAGCTGGAGCTTTCAGGAGGAGCTGGCAATTGATACTTGCAAAAAAGAGTATCACATTCCCAGGCAAAGATGGAATTATCTTTAAAACAGCTGAGGATGGTGTTACTTAACGGTAGAAAGAAAACCTAGAGAGGGAGAAAACAAAGTGTTACCATTCACATAAGGATCTTACGCTCTAAGTGTGTGCCAACCAGTTGGTTCTGGCTCATACCGACCCTATAGGACACAGGAGAATGGCCCCATACAGGTTCCCAGGCTGTAAATTGTAGTTTGTTAGTTACATTTTGACTTTGATAGTAGTACAGAGAAAACTAGGAACAAAAGTTTGGGGGGTAGAACAATCAGCTATTTCTACAAGTTATTTATCTAACAGTATGCCTTTTAACATATCAAAGCAGGCTAAAAAGTTCTAATTCTCTTTATTGTAATTTTTTTTTTCTTTATTGTAATGACTTGATTTTACAGCCATCATGAGATTAAATTTGAAGCACTTATAAACCCAGAATAAAAGACATACAAAGATTAAAGAGCTGAACTTATGCAATCATGAAACCATGCCTTTCTTTTTCCGATTACAAAAGCAAATCAGCATCAGCTATATCACTGAAAATTAATTAGATCATAAAGAATGGAAATGGTAGAAAAAACTGTTTTTAATTTTCATAGGTAAAACAGTTCTAACATTTTAAATGACCTATCAGTAAGACTTGCTATCTAGTTAACATACACCACTAGCATTCCTTTTTCTTTTCTTGAAAATACTCATATCCACTTCTGTAGTATCCTTTACAAAACAGACTACAGAACAAGTTCCATGTAACAAGAGCTATAAAAAATAACATTTTACCATAACTGTGTTTTTTCTGATCCTTGAAATAATATCAATTACTTGTCAATTTAACCTGTTCCTTGAAGGGGAAATAAAAGGCATCATTAGAATAACTGGCTCTACAGTCTTCAGTTATCTTTCCGTAAACAAAACATAATTTTTCACAATTAAAGAGCAGAAACACAACAAACGGAGTTAACCTAAAGTCACTTATCTAAAGATAAATGATTAAGTAGAAGTCATTGTTAATTTCTTAACCATTTAACTCATAAGATAATAAGAACAATGTATAATTCATCAGTCTATATTAATTTCATCTCACATAAGGCTAATGTTTAAAAGGAGAGTTAGTCTAATACTATTACTGAATGACAAAATTGCTATCATGATAGTTCAAAAGATATCAAATTGCTATGGAAGATTCAATATATGAGGTTAAAATCCACTTCTGTTGAGTTAGATAGTCCTAAATAAACATGAGAAAGAAAAACAAACATTTCTTGTTCTTATTCTTATCAATTAGAAATTCAGGTTAAATAGGCTTCATAGAGCATGTCTATCCATCTTAATAACTTAATATAAACAATAAAGCAACATTCATTATTCATCCTAACAATGTTTCAAGCAAAAAAATTCTAACATTTTTTCTAAAACTGCAAATGGGACTCTTTTCATGTAAAGGAATAATGTAGATCATCATTTACCAAAACCAATGAGTGAAACCTGATGCTCTCACATTATTTATTCTCAACTCAAGTCTAGACAACTAGGTTACTAGAGTCATCTCCTCATATGAGTCACTGGATTCATCTTTTTGTTTCAATTCTTCTAAGACTTTGTCTACAGCTGTACCAATTTTTTTCTTACATTTCTTGAGAATTGCATCATTAGCACAGATTTTTCTCATTTTAATGTTTGGCAACTTCTTCAGATTAAAATCCCACTCCCTAAAGTTCGCAGATTACCAGCATCTACTATGATTGGAATTTCAAGGCCATATCCTCCATATTGCCGTTGCTCACGCTCCATCGTCTGCTTGACAACTGGCTCTCGAGAATAGTGTCGCCTTCCCTGTCTCTTTGATGCTGTTATGCAACTCAATCTGCTCCAACTCACTGCTTAGTCGATGTATATGGCTTTCAATTAATTCACAAGCATCCTTTTTTTAATATTCTACTTTTTTGGCATCACGATGATTTTGAACCCACTGCAGTTTTCCACCGATACTGAGACGCACTGCTTTTTCTTCTTCAATTTCTCCCTTTTTGTTTGTTTGTGGGCCTCTCTCGTAATTTGAGTTGCTCTTCTAGTGTATGGATGGATGATTTTTTTCCCCCCTCCTCCGTTTTCTCCCTTTGGTGCTTTAGGCATAGCGACGTCTTCGTAGCAGGCCTCAGAGATCCAGATAGGAACTACTTTTTGTTTTTTAAAACAAAAACTTAAGCTGAATGGAAAAAATCCATTTGCGATATATGATGGGGTGTAATACTGATTTTTCAAAACACTCTTTAAACTAAGAAGAAAAGGGAAATCTCTTTAAATAGGTAACTATAAACATTAGCGTGGTAATTTATAAAATATTAAGTAACAATTAAAAAAATATTTAACCTTATGTTCTGGTGTGGCTCTATAGGATAAAGCTCTAGATCACAAGGTCAGTTGGAACCACAGGGTCGGCAGTTCAAGCCTACCAGTTGCTCTTTGGAAATCCTATACAGGGTCACTATAAGTTGGAACCGACTCGAAGGTACCTAATAACAATCTTACAGTAGACTGAAAGTGATAACATTTCATGTGCATGTACTTAAAAAAATAATGCACACACACATATATATATACATACACACATCATACATACACAAACTGATAAATAAAACAAGAGTGCTTGGAAAAGTACATGGGAAAACTCCATTTTCTTTTCATTTCACTTTTCCATAAAGTTTTTGAAAGCTCTTGTGCAGCAGTAATTATATTAATATACGAATGTGAACTAACACAAATACTACAGCAAATTCTGAACACTGAGGAATGTTAAAAATACTAAATGGAGGTGAAAGTATAGGGACCTCGCTCTGCCATGCATTGCTGTTAGCAGGAAAGGTGGGTTAGAGACCATACCTGTCTCACAAGCCTTTCTTCTGTTCTAGCCAATCTACTCTTAAGATGTGATCCTTTGGAAATAATTAACAAAGTACTTCAAATAAGTGTTTATAATTCATTACACATTATTTATAAAAGTAAAAAGGTTTAAAATAAATGCATGATCATATTTAATGGCCAACTGAGTTGTGAATGGACTACCACGACTGAAATGAATTGATATCAACACTGAATACAACATTTGTTTCCCAATTTATTTTTCTATTGCATAAGCAGTAAATGCCTCCTTCAAAAGATAAAAAAGTAACTGAAACTGACACATTTTCCTCCTAAAATCTTCAGTTGCCTCAACTATTGTATGTGTCATCTGTGCAAAACATACCCACCTATGTAATGTACTATGGAGTGAGTATACAGGTTTCTCAGGATCATTAAGACAAAAGAATTGCTAGCAATCACATCACATGTTCAGAGTCATGGTGAGGCACTGTAGGATAAGCACTGGACCACTAACCACAAAATCGGCGGTTCAAATCCACCAGCTGCTCCTCAGATACCCTACACAGTGTCTCCATGAGTCAGTAACAGACTCGATGACATTAACAATGATGACAACAACTCAGATCCTGCTACGATGCTGTAGGATAAGCACTGGATTGGCAACTGCAAGGGTGGTGGTTCAAACCCACCAGTCACTCCTTGGAAACGCTATACAGGGTCGCTATGAGTTGAAACCGATTTGACTAACAACCACATCGGATGTTTCTTACATTTGTCCTTGGCTCCCTCTGCCAGAGTCAATTTCTGGTAGGGCTTTAGTTAATAGATCATGTTACAAAGATTTATAACACCAAGATCTTCTAGAAAAAACTTGTAATGAATATATTATAACATATAATCAGTGCATTACAACACTGCTTTAAATTTGATGGCAAAAAAAAGTGACTCAAAATTTTTATTATAATTAGCAGTCATTTTTCTAGAAAAGTAATAAAGTTTATTCCCAAGGGGAGAAGCAAAAGCTTAAAAGTTAATGAGCATCAACTGCTATTTTAGGGAAAGAACTGTGATAGATTATTGCCTACATGATTATTCATTACTAGATTTGTGATTTTAATGACTAGATTTTAATGATTATAAAATTGTTGCTAATGAATCCTATCATTATTATTTAGACAGTGTCATCTCCTGACAATCTTAAACAGCTTAGGAAAAACTTCAAAAACATTGACAAGATGTACTTTTTAGAGGGTTAGGGTCAAGGCAAAGGTGTCCTGGTGGCACAGTGGTTACAGTGCTCGGCTGCTGTTTGAAACCACCTGTCACTCTGTGCAGTAAGACGTGGCAGCCTGCGTCCATACAAATGTACAGTCTAGGAAATCCCACAGTGCAGTTCTGCTCTGTCTTCCAGGGGCATTAGGACTCGAACCCGACTCAGTGACAATGGCTTTGTGTTTTTTTTTTTGGTGGGGTTAAGACTGGGGCTGCAGGTTCCCTTGTTGTTGTTAACTGCCATCAAGTCGGTTCTGACCCAGAGCGACCCTGTAGAGGGTCTCCAAGGAGCAGCTGGTAAGCTTGAACCTCCGACCTTGTAGTTCAAACCGGAATTACAATCCAGTGCATTAGCCCATAAAGCCACACCAGGACTCCTCAGAGAATGTGAATCAGACTTTTCAATTCATTTTTTCAATTGTACATTAGCTCTTCTCGAAATTTTGAATTAAGGACAATAGCACTGAAGGATAAAGTACTGGGCAGCAAAGTTGGTTTGAACCACAATGTAGGTGTTTCAAGCTCACCAGCTGCTTCTGGTAAGCCTTATACAGGGTGGTTATGTGTTGGATTTGACTCAACGGTACTTAATAACAACATACGCGTACTTAATAACAACATACGCATACTGGAGTTCTAGTGTAGCCCTGTAGGATAAGCACTGGCCTGCTAACCACAAGGTCGGCAGTTCAAACCCACCAGCCACTTCTTGGAAACCCTATACTGGGTTACTTTGTGTTGGAACCAGCTCAATAACATTTAACATCCAAAACAACAAGTACCTTTACTGTTACTATTCAATAGCATTATGTTGATAATTTCATGCAATCCTCAAACTTAACCTCAAGGAGCTACAACCCCCAACAATAATCATAAAGGATCTATTTAAAATACTGAACCAGACACTGGAATAAAACGGAGGCTTAGTAAACTACGCTACAACTTGACAAGAATTAAAGTTTTTACTTTAAGATTAAGTTACAGCAGGAGGATGAGTGTAAAGCTGATGTTTTCCCATGTAAACTCTCACTCAATTCACAATAAAAACTTAAAAAAAATAAAAGATGAAGCTACAGATATTTTCTTTCTATTTTTAACAGTAAAAGTCAGGAGTGCCAAACATCTGGCTCCCTGCCAGTTTTTGTATCACCCGAGGACTAAGAAAAGCAATTTTTACATTTTTTCACATGGTTATGTCTTAAATGGTTACAAAAGTACACACATAATAGCTTCTAGTTCACCTCTTGACCTACAACACCTGAAATATTTACTATGTGGCCTTTTAATAAAAAGTTTTGCTGGGTAAGTTACAGACTGTGCCACAGTGACTGTACAGGACAGGGCAGAACTGCCCACAAGGCTTCCTAGCCTGTCATCTTTACAGACCACAAATCATCAGGGCTTTTCTCCCACAGGGCTATTGGATGGATTTGAACCAGTGACCTTCTGGTTAGCAGACGAGAATGTAACCACTGTGCCACTAGGGCTCCTTGTAACATGTAGACTCGTGTTCTGTTCTTCTAGAACAATCTATTTACATGCATCTTCACAATACACATTCATTTTATACATCTAATTTTACTCTTATTCCACTAACATCTGAAGTCCTACTTTCTAAACTGTCTCAATGGCCAAGCAAGGTTATCACTGGCACTGATTCCATGTACACGAGCTTTAATTTCATGGTAAGAAGAGCAGATGGCTTTTGTGTCATTGTTCCCTAACTGTCTCCACTGGGGTTTCAGCTCCCAAGGCCCTTTTCTTTGGAATTTAAAATTCAATTTAGGTGCTGAGGCAATTAAAGAAGAAAAGACCTAGTAAGACATTTGGCCTAAATCCCTAGTGGAGAGGCTGGCTACAACTTTTATCTCTTTTTAATTATTAAAGGTAAACTTAAAAGAACTCTGGGATTTCCATGGAGACTACAAAATAAATCTGAGGTTGACATGCATTGCTAGCTATTCATGTTAATAATCAAGAAATTAACAAGCAATGCTTGCTGCATATATAATATAACCTGAAGCAAAACAATGAATCACATGGGAGACTCAAGACACTCCTCAAAATGTCATTTGGCTAAGTAAAGAGAAACAACTAAGTCTTAAAAACAAAAGAAAAAGATTTAAAAAATAAATGGTGGTACATTATAGAGGGGGCTTTCATGGAAAAATTCCTTTATCTTTGTTTACTTCATTTTCCCACTAACTTTTGAAATCCCCTTATACAATGGGTAACTATTCATCTTCAATGATAAAAAAGAACAGATTAATGATAACACGGACGATCTTAAAAGCTTTACGCTGAGAGAAGAAAGCCTTACATAATGAACGAGTTCTACTTACATGAAATCTTAGGGCAAGCAAAACTAATCTTTGGTAGAAAAACAATAGCGTGCTTTCACAAAGTGGGGCTGAATTGGGAAGACATGATGGAATTTTCTGGGACAATGAAACAACCGTGCACAGATTATACAGGAATATGTATGTTTCAGGAGCCCTGGTTGCACAGTAGTTAAAACATTTAGCTGCAAATGAAAATGTTGGTAATTCAAACCCATCAGCTACTCGTTGGGAGAAAGCTGTGGCCGCCTGCTTCTATAAAGAATACAGCCTTGGAAATTGTAGGGGCCACCTTTACTCTGTCCTACAGGGTCGTTATGAATCAGAATTGACACAGTGACCAGAAGCGTGGTTACTTTTTAATGCATTTACCCAAAAGTAACAAATGAAGACTTAAGCTTGCACACTTTGGTACATATATATTATACATTAACAAATACTGAACTCTGTATTTATGGGGAAGTATTGGAGTCCTTCAGAGTCTGGGTGTGGCAATGTGGGCTAATGCGTCAGACAGCAAAGTCGTTTGAACTGCAACGTCAGTAGTTCAAGCTCACCAGCTGCTCCTTGGAAACCCTATACATGGTCACTATGGGTCGGAATTGACTCGACGGCACTTAACAACATACTCATGTAGTGTGGCGCTGTAGGGTAAGTACTGGACTGGTTATCACAAGGTCAGCAGTTCAAACCACCAGCCATTCTTGGAACCCCTATACAGGGTCTCTTTAAGTCAGAAGTGACTCGACAGCATATACCAACAACAACAACAACATACTCATGTTAAGGAGCCCTGGTGGCAAAGTGGCTAAGTACTCAGCTGTGAACTGAAAGGCCAGTGGCTCAAATCCACCAGCTACTCCACGGGAGAAAGATGTGGCAGTCTGCTTCCGTACTGATTACAGCCTTAGAAATTCCATGGTGCACTTCTACTCTGTCCTATGCGTTGTTATGTATCAGAACCAAATTAACAGCAACTTTTTTTTTTAAATACTCATGCCTGCAACTTGTTGTAAAAAGGAAAAAAATTTAAAATGATTAATGAATGAACAGAGGGACAGATAGATCGATAGATCTGTGATATGCTGTCAAGTTCCATGGAGTCGGTTCCGACTCATAGCCACCCTTTGTAGGGCTTTCAAGGAGCAGCTGATGGGTTTGAACTGCCAACCTTGCAGTTAGTAGTCCAGTGCTTATCCTACAGTGCCACACCAAAACTCTAGTAAAATGTGAAGGTGAAGTTTAATAAAGTATAGCATGCTGTTGTTAAGTGCTGTAGAGTCTGTTCCGACCCATAGCGACTCTGTATAGAGTTTCCAAGGAGTGGCTGGTGAGCTTGAATTGCCGACCTTGTGGTTCAAACCGACCAATGTATTACATGTTACATATTACAGCGCATTAACCCACAACGTCAAAACATGTTAATGGTAAATTCTAGGTGGTTAATGTAATGTGCTCATTGTAAAATCTTTCAATTTCATTGAATGAAATTTTTCATAAAATGTTGAAGGAAAAACTAAAAAAACAAAGAACTAAATAAAAAGTTAACATTTTTATTAAAGTGAAAGCACATTTGTTGTTATTGTTGTTAGGTGTCGTCGAGTCGGTTCTGATCTATAGTGACCCTATGTATTCAACAGAACGCAACACTGCCCAGTCCTGCACCATCCTCCTCACAACTGATGCTACACTCAAGCCCATTGTTTACAGAATAATTTTTGAAAATAATTTTTTATAGTTACAGAAATAATTTTTGAAAAAATCACAGAAAAATGCAATTTACAGAAATATGCAATATCTTTAATTTTGTTGGCTGTTTTACTTTGTTTGTTCCTGAATTCCAAGAACACAGTTATGTGGGACAAAGTGAATCACTATTTTTATATCATCTATAAATCCTTTGGAGTCCTTGGGTGGCGCTATAGAATGAGCTCTGGACTGATAACCCCAAGGTCGGTGATTTAAACCCATGAGCTGCTCCTCAGAAACCCGTCGAGGGTCGCTAAGGGTCAGAAGCTAGCCTGAGAATCACAACGGGCCAACATGTCCCTCCTCACTGACCTTTTGTATACCCACAGACTGGCGAATATTCAGCTTTCTTTTTCTCTGGAAGGTATCCAAGTCCCAGAGCTGGGCGGTATCAGAAGAAGTAGTGATGGCATACCTTCCTGATGCGTGCACAGAGATGGAAAACACGGACGACTCATGCCCTCGCATCCAGCTAACTAGCTCCTTGGTACCTGTGGGGAACAAGGAAGTTATTCAAAGGCAAAACACTAGACATCACCCATAAACGGGTTCACTAGATGGCTAGACATTACAGGAGACGCCTCTTCTAGTATGTACAACAATGGAAGCCTGTGGTGGATGCAGTATATCACAGAACATGCTAGTAACAAGTGTACCATGCAGGTATCAAGAGGGGTGGCCGAAAAGAGTTTGATTAAGAGCTCCAAATGCGATGCTCAGGACTTTGGGCTTTTGCTTGTAGGTAAAAGTGTTTTTTTTAGAAAGAATACCAGTTCTGATCCACACAGTAGAAAGAGAACCAGAGGGCATGTGGTGAATCTACTGGAAGTATGAAAGAGATTGGAGGAAAAGAATAATTTACTATAATAATCCAGTCAAAACTTACCAAGAGACTGACAGTGGAGAAAGGAACAAATTCAATTAAGAAGCAAATCAAAGGACTTAGTGACCTAATGGGCAATGGGCGTGTTGCGGTAAAGGCGCTAAAATTCCAGTGGTTCTAGTTCAGTTAAATAAGTACATGGTGATACTATTACTAGTACAAGACAGACATGAGGAAGAACAGATTGAGCAGTGCCAGATGACAATGGATTTTTAAAAACTGACTCTGAGGTGCATGTGTGCGAGCGTGTGTGTGTTCAATGTATATATGTGTGAGCAGAACAAAGAATCTGGTAGGAAAACTCCACAACTTGTTCATGATAGATTTGGGTTTAAGGCAATATTAGAACAGCATGAGAGGCACTGAACCTAATTAATGTCACTAACTATACATGGGAAGATGGTTGAAATGGAAAATGTCTTGTTGCACAGAGTTACCAAAAAAATTGTTCATGATAACTATCACTGGGTAGGAAAATAGACTCATTTTCTCTGTGTACTTTTTCTGCATATTTCCAAATTTTCTACAGTAGGCATTTATTACTTTTATGGTCAAGATTCTGTCTCCTGAAGGATGGAAGTGAAGAGAATAGTCAGAAGCCAAGATAAAAATCTGGGAAACATTAAGACACGAAGTAAGTCAAAGCTGAAGACAGAAGAACAGACAATCCCTTAGGGAAGGAGTGTGGTTTCTAACCAGCAATCTGGGATCTGGCATAGCCAATGGTCAATTTTCCACTGATCTTACTGAAATGAGAAAAATCAGGACAATGAAACACGTTTTTCAGAAAGTTCAATTTAAAAACTGTCTTTTCAGCTAACATTCCATCCCTTTAAATTTCACGTTAAGAATACCTGTATCTTATAAAAGTATATTGTTCTTTTCGATGTCAATTAGAAAAAATTAAGAGCTGACAACTAAGTGTGTTTCTCTAATTTTTTTTAGATGGGCCCCAAACCCAGAGGTCTAGAAACCATTAAGAGGATCTGGGAGATACTGCTAAGAAGCAGTCGGAAAGGTAAGAGAACCAGGAGAGGTAATAATATGAAAACTAAACAAAGACTCTTCACCAAGTGTCCAATGCTACAGAGAATGAGGATGGAAAGTATCCAGAAGATGTAAACAATCAGAGGACAGATGGAGGTGTCAGTGGCCTGGACTGAGGAGCCAGAGTCAGACTTCCTGGATAGAAGCAGTGAGAAAGGGGGACTTGGGAGTGAAGGAAAGAGAGGTGGCCAGGAAGTTCAGGAGCTGGCAAGGGACTTTCTTGGGATAGGAATTCAACATGGAAATACAGGAATGGAATAAAAGGCAGAGTAGAGAATGGGTAGAATCCAAGGGAAGCAATCGGTGAGTACAAAGACTTAGCATTTTAGAAATTCACAGCAGGGACCCCATGGCCAGTCCAGCTGAGCTGGAATCCTGACTTCCCCACATACAAGATATGAGGTCTCAATCAAGTTACCTCTGTGCCTCAGCTTCCTCATCTGCAAAGTGGGGATAATAGTAGCGGCCCTCTCCTTGGGTTACTATGATTAAAATGAATGAATAGGTATAACCTCAAGAACCAATACCTGGCAATACACAAGGGGACTTCAGAAAGTTCATGGAAAAATCCCATTATCTTTCACTTCCATTTTCCCATGAACTTCGTGAAGCTCCTTCGTGTGTTAACTGTCATTATTATTAGTATTATTATCTTTCTAAAGTTTATAACATCGGAATTAATCTAGTAAGTAAAAGATACAATTGGGATTTTTTTTTTTCCCTAGAAAAACAGGAGAGGTTCAGGCTACAGAACTCTGATTTTCTAATAAAAAATATGTGGTGCAAAATACAAGGGAGCTTCCAAAAGTTCATGGAAAAATAGAATCAAAAGATCCTGGAATGTTTCCATGAACATTTTTAAGTCCTCTCGAAGGTAAGTTGTTTAAAACAAACACAAGACAACTGTACCACAGTTTATCTCTTTTTTATTCTGCCTCAAAGAAACAAATAGGACTTCTTACCTGTATCAAAGCATTTGATAGAATAATCAGCTTGTGCCACAAGGAATTCAGACCTTCTACGGAGATTAAAGGCCAGAGCTGTGGAAGCTTGTGCCGTTCGCTGAACAAGGTTAAACCTAGCAAGAGATCACTGCATTAGGACCAGAAATTCTTTGGGTAGTCACTGCACTTTAGGGACGAGGTGACACATTCGATGTGGGGTGAAGACGGATGAACCTGGAATTCCCCAGGCATAAAATGAAGACATGAATGTGTACCTCCTGTTGAATGACGATGCATGGAGGGGACTGTAATCAATACAATGAAACAAAATATGATAGGATTAGTGTAAAACAGATGTTCACCCACGTAAACATTCAATTCACAATAAAAACTTTTAAAAAATCAGTGTGTACCAGGTTATTGTGATAGTTACATAACACATGTAATGTGTCCAGCAGAATACTTAGCACATAAACAAAAAGCCACACCCACTGCATCAAGATGATTCTGACTCACAGCGGCTCTCTAGGACAGTCAATGGCTCCACAGTTCCTAATGCTGCTGCTTTTGTTGTTTACTGCTTTCAAATCAGTTCTGATTCAAAGTTACCCTGGATCAGGTTTCTGCAGAATAGATGGTGGGTTTGAACCACAGAGTTTGTGGTTCTCAGCTCAGTGCTGTGAGAATCCGTAAATCTTTGCAGAAGTGGACTGCCTCAACTTTCTCCCTTGGAGCAGATGGTGGGTTCAAACTGCTGGCCTTTCATTTAGCAGCTCAATGCTTACCTCACTGCACCACCAGGGCTCCTATGAGAGGGTTCCCAAGAGTTTTTGGAAAAAGTTCCATGACCCTTTCATTCCCATTTTGTTCCTGAACTTTTTGAAGCCCCCTCATACTTGGCAAATGAAGCTAGCGCTGAATTTACTTAAAAGGGAAAAATAAAAAAGTTTGGACAAAGTAAAAACAAGGTTGGGGACAGGAAAGAATACTTTTGATTTTAAACATGTTGATTTTAAAATGCTTGAAAATTATTTACAGCCGCAATGCCCAAAAGAAATATAATCCAGGTCACATAGAGCATTTAAAACTTTCTAGGAACCACATCTAAAAAGTGAAAAGAGAAAGGTACAACTAATTTTAATATTTTATTTAATGGATATTGTATGCATTTGTAAGAGTATGTATCTAAAATATCATTTCAACATGTAATCAATATAAAAATTATTGATACATTTTACATTCTTTTAAAATTTGAAGTCTTCTAAATCCATATGTATTTTACATCTCAATTTGGACTAGCCACTTTTTAGGGATTCCAGCGTCCACCTGTAGCCAATGGCTACCATACTGGACAGTCAAATCTAGAGGTATTCTTCCTTTAGGTTTGCTGTTCTGTGCCTTTGAGTAGATTCTGACTCAAGACCCGAAATGACGGAGTAGAAGTGCCCTATCATGTTACCTAGGCAGAAACCTCTATGGGAGCAGAAAGCTAAAAATCTCTTCTCCCTGGGCAGGGCTGGTAGGTAGAAGAAGTAAATCTGAGTTGTCCCATGGCACTGTTAACACGTCAGCTGAAGCCTGAGGCTCTGTGGTGATGAGATCATCAAAGAAGACAACTGGGGCATGGAACAAGCCAAGGACACACACGCCTGGGCAGTACAACATTCAATGGCTGGACAACATTAGAATCAGCAAAACCATCAGGCAGGGAAATGATACGAAAGGTTGAAAAGTTGGGCAAGAGTCATACGATGAAACCAAAAGAAACAGACTTCAGGCAGGAAGGGAAGCAGGTACATCCAGTGCTTCAGAAATGTGAGAACTGAAAAGATTCCATGAGGTTGGCCAATTAGGAAGACTGAGGGAAACCAATGTAGTGAGTTTTAGAGTTAGATGTTGTTAGGTGCCATCAAGTCGATTCCTACTCATAGCAACCCTGTGACAGGGTTTCCTAAGAGCAGATGGTGGGTTTGAAACAGACTTTTTTTTTTTAAGTCTCCTATTTATTAATTAATTTTGTGTGTGTGTATGACCTGAGTGATAGTTTACATGGGAGAACATTGGCTTTAAACCATCATTTCATTGCAGTGATTACAATCATCTGCACGCATCATCATTCAACAATATTTGCTTCCATTCCCTGTTTTTTTGTTTTTTTTTTGGGGGGGGGAGTAGGAGGGTAGGGAGATGTACCCCCAAACACTCAGGAATATATAATAATTTAAACAACCAAAGGGCACATTGTTCAAGCCTGTCTCCTGGCCGCCAGCACTCAGTCCCTCTCTTTCCATGAGTGTAGAGTCCTCAGCTTCTCCCTCTTTCCATGTCCTCATCTTTGCCTCCCTCTCTGGTGTCACTGCCTCTCTGGATGGTCGTGGTGGTGGTGTGCCATGGAGTCATTTCCAACTCACAGTGACCCAGTACAGGGTTTCCGAGACTGTAAATCTTTACAGAAGCAGAAAGCTTCATCTTTCTCCCATTGAACAGCTGGTAGTTTCAAACTGCCGGCCCTGAGGTTCGCAGCCCGATTAGTAACCACTACGCTACCAGAGTTCCTTGCTTCTCTGGACAGGGTCCCGCATTCTACTTGTGTTCTTCTCCCTTAATTGTCCTAGGGTCCTTTGTTTCTGGACTGTAAGATTAAGCACGCTCCTATTTTTGTAACTAAACCTCTACCTTTACAGTTGTGACCATCACAATTAGTCATGACAACAATTACTCACTATTGAATCATAAGAATCTTATCCCCATCTCTTTTTACTAGAACTGTCTAAACAAGATGAAAACTATTCAATGGGGACTCTGTCTTCCCCAACACACTCTTAAACTAAACCCCCTCGTGAAAACTTGTAAGCCAGTCACTTCATGGCTTTATCGCCCCTCATTTTAGGTTGCCAATGTCTAAGTTGCCCATCCCTATCTACCCTGTATACAGAGGGGCTAAGGATTAATACTTGATGTGAAGACTCCTTCCCGCTCAGTTGTTATTTTGAGCTACTACGGCCATAAGTATAGGTCAAGTTCATCACACTGTAGCAATTTACACTTGTTTCCTTTATCAAAAATTGTTTTTTTTAATCTTCCTTTAGTCGAGTTCTGATTATCAAGCCACCAAGGCTAAGTCAAATGGGTTCTTGTGCATCTCCCCTCACTTCATATCACTGGATGCTTCACTCTCAGCTCTTGCCCTCTGTGGCTATGTCCTTGTCCATGGGCTCAAATGTCCCCAGGTCTCACCACCCTTTGGACCAACCAGCCCTTCCTCTTCTCACTCTCATCTCCAGATCAACGGAAGTCTATGGAACGTGGTTGAACTCAACTCATTTCTTCATTGCTGCCTTTCCCCCTCTTCCATTCACCAGTGGACCAATGTGATTGCCAACTAGCTTACATGCCTGTACATGTGTTGTTCCCTTTGAATTTCAGTCTTGTGGGGGGGTTGTCCTGAGGGGACTTGATTGCTTGCCTTGATGGTTTCCTGAAACAGCTGACCATTTGGATCTCAGTCCATTGCTTATCCTACAGTGCCACACCAGGAGTCCTTAGAATTAGAGAGTCTCAGCTCTGCTATTTTCCAGTTCTGATGTTTGCAAAGAAAAAGGACTGTGAGCAAAATGAAAGGGGAAAACCGCATGGGGCCAAATCCCCAGGAAGGCTACAGAAAATAGGATTACAGACCCAGTTATAGGGATTGTTGTTGTTGTTGAGTGCTATTGAGTTGGTTCCGACTCAGCGACTCTTAACAGGGTTTCTGACGAGCAACTGATGGGTTTGAACTGCCAACCTTGTGATTCGCAGTCCAGTGCTGATCCCATAGCACCACACCAGGAGTGTAATATAGGGATTACACCAGAAGAAACCTTGATCAGCTACTTTTATGACTAAGGTAGGAAAGAGGTAAGGATAAGTGAACTTCAAATAATAACAGATAAGCAAGTGAACTACCAAGCAACACTGATGTTGAAGTTCATTACAATGTAAAGAAGTCCATCAAAAATTATTTTGTCTAGCAACAGGGCCAAAGAAGAGACAGCTGTACTGATTTAACAGCACTTAACAGTTCTAAGCTATAGCGACGCTGTATACGGTTTCTGAGGAATGGCTGGTGAGCTTGAACCACCAACTTTGCGGTTCAAACCGGCTTTGCAGTCCAGCACATTAACCCACAGAACCACACCAGGACTCCTCACACCTACATATACATCTTTATTTATTTCTAGGTCTATCTATCTAGATACATTCAAAACCATGAGTACACATTGATACATCCAATTCAAATGCAATACTACATGGTTCTTTTTTGTTTTCTCCCTCTCTCTATTTATAACTCTCTTTTCCAATCGTGGTTGGTGGCTCAAACCCACTAGCCACTCTAAAGGAGAAAGATGAGGCAGTCTGTTCCTATAGAGACTAACAGACTCAGAAAGACGAGGCAGTCTGCTCCTATAGAGACTGACAGACTCAGAAACCCTAAGGAGCAGTTCTACTTGGTCCTACTGGTCGCTATGCGTTGGAACCAACTCGATGGCAGTGGATGATGACAATGGATTGGGTTTGCTTCCAATAGTGACAAACCTGACCTCCATTATCCTCAATGCCTTTAGGTATTTGATCAAACCCCTGTATTAAACTGCTATGGCACTGTAGGATAAGCACTAGACTAAAAGGTAGGTTTTGAATCACAATGCAAGCAGTTCAAACTTACCAGCCGCTCCTTGGAAATCCTATCCAGGGTTGCTGTGAGTTGGAATCGATTCGACAGAACTTAACAACAACAACCCTCAAGTCCTGATGTAGTACTATAGGCAGGATAAGCACTGGACTGCTAAATGCAAGGCTTGCAGTTCAAACGCTCCCAGCCACTCCTCAGAAATGCTATATAGGATTACTATGAGTCAGAAGCACCCAGACAGCAGTTAACAACCACCCCCAACCAGATACATGTTCTGATTCCCTTGCTGGGCTAATGAAACACTCCCTCTCACCTATCCCAAACTACCTGGACAGCTACCTTGCTTGGTTCTATCTAATTGCTTTAGGACTAAATTGTTTAGTAAGGAAAGAGCAGAGGAAGAAGTGACAAGCTCTTTTAAATCCTTACACCTAATACAATGCAATAATAATGAATAAAGAACATTGTGTTCTTCTAAACTGCCTAAATGAACTACCAGAAATTAACTGGTAAGTTCGCGAAAATGCATTATAAAATTTACGGAAAATCAAGCTACTAAAGATACTGTTAAAAGCACCATTCTAGTACTCTAAGAAATCTAACCAGATTATCTATCATTTTCTTCCTTCGGCACTTAGAACAGAGCTCTGAAAGGAAGCACAGTTTATCAAATACTGTTGTTGTTAAGTGCCACTGAATTGGTATCAACTCATGGTAACCCTACACAACAGAACAAAACACTGTCCTGTCCTGGGCCAACCTCCCCATCATTACCATGACTGAGTCCATTGCTGCTGCCACTGTGCCAATCCATCTCATCGGGGCGGAGGGGGCAAGGGGTGTCTTCCTCTTTCTCTCTGACCCTTCACTTTACCAAACATGATATCCTTATCCAGGGACTGAACCCTCCTAACAATATGTCCAAAGTACGAGAGACAAATTTGGCCATCCTGGCCTCCAAGGAGCACTCTGGCTGTACTTTTTCCAACACAGATCTATTGGTTCTTTTGGCAGTCCATGGCACTTTCAATACTCTCCTCCAAAATCGTAACTCAAATGCATCAATCCTTCTACAGTCTTCCTTATTCACTGTCCAGCTTTCACATGCATATGACGTTATTGAAAATACAATGGCTTGGGTCAGGTATACCTTAATCCCCAACTGACATCTTTGCTCTTCAACACTTTAAACACGTGTTGTGCAGCACATAGGCCTAATGCAATACATCATTTGATTTCTTGACTGCTGTTTCCATGAGTGTTGATGGTTGATCCAAGCAAAATAAAGTCTTTGACAACTTCAGTCTTTTACCCATTTATATGGATATTGTTTATTGATCCAGTGGTGAGGATTTTTTTTTTTTTCTTCACATTGATATACAACCCATACTTAAGGCTGTATCTTTGATCTTCATTAGTGAATATTTTAAGTCCTTTTCCCTTTCAGCAAGTGAGGCTGCATCATCTGTATATTGCAGGTTTTTAATGAGTTTTCCTCCAAACTTGATGCCATGTTTTTCTTCAGCTTCTCGGATTATTTGCTCTGTATTTAGACTGAATAAGTATGGTGAAAGAATACAATCCTGTTGCACATCTTTCCTAATTTTAAACCATTTGGTGTTCCCTTGTTCTAACAACTGCCTCTTGGTCCATGTACAGATTACTCATGAGCACAATTAAGTGTTCAGGAATACTCATACTTTGCAATGTTGTCCATAGCTTGTCATGATCCACACAGTCGAAAGCCTCTGAATAGTTGATAAAGCCCAGGTAAACATCTTTCTGGTATGCTCTGCTTTCAGCTAAGATCCATCTGATGTCAACAATGATATTTCTAGTTCCACATCTTCTTCTGAATCCGGCTTTAGCCTCTAGAAGTTCTCTGTCAGTGTACACTTAACAGCCGTTTTTGCATATCTTCAGTAAAACTTTACTCTCATGGGATAACAATGATATTGTCTGATGATTTCCGCATTTTGCTGGTTCACCTCTCTTTGGAATGGGCACAAATCTGGACCTCTTCCAGTCAATTGGCCAGATAGTTGTCTTCCAAATTTCTTGGTATAGATGAGTGAGCGTCTCCGGTGCCGCATCAGTTTGTTGAAAGATTTCAATGTGTATTCCATCAATTCCCAGTGCCTTGTTCTTTGCTATGACCTTCAATGCACCTTGGACTTCTTCCTTCAGGATAATTGGCTGCTGATCATATGCTAACTCTTGAAATCACTGAACGTCAACCATTTCTTTTTGGTATGGTGACTCTGTGCATTCTTTCCATCACCTTTTGATGCCTTCTGCATCATTCAATATTTTGCCCTTAGAATTCTTCAATACTTCAAGTTGAGGCTTGAATTTTTTCTTCAGTTCTCTCAGATTGAGAATGCAGAGTGTGTTCTTCCATTTTGGTTTTCTAACTCCAGGTCTTTGCACATTTTATTATAATATTTGACTTGGTTTTCTCAAGCTAACCTTTGAAATTTTCTGTTCAGCTCTTATACCTCCTCACTTCTTCCATTTGCTCTAGCATCTCTACACCAGAATAGCACGTTTCAGAGTCTCTTCTGGGATCCATTTTGGTCTTTTGTTTTAGTCTTGCCTTCTTAATGATCTTTTGCTTTCTTCCTATATGGTGTTCTTAATGTCACCCCATGAGTCTTCTGGTCTTTGGTCTTCGGTGTCTAATACATCAAACCTGTTCTTCAGATGATCTCTAAATTCAGGTGGGATATATTTAAGGTCATATTTTGGCTCTTGCGGACTTTAAAAAATTTTCTTCAGCTTCATCCTAATTTGCATATGAACAATTGATGGTCTGTTCCACAGTCTGCCCCTGGCTTCATGGAATACAATAGGAATTCAATAAATACTCCTGAGAAAATAGGAACGCAAAACTGTGGTATAAGGAATAATTTAATATGTCTTTTCTAGCCAGAGTCTTTATAACTCCCACCAAATGACTGGATGGGACCAGGCAAATAGGGTATGTGAAAGTCTAATGTGGGGATTGGTTAGTTTTTCCATCTCACTAGGTTTCAAATGAGCAATCTCAGAAGCAGGAACAAAGAAATCTCATGACCCTCAAGAATGAAGAGACACAGGTAGGACACAATCTTTGGACCCCAAGAACCCTGGCTGGAGAAGCAGCTGCAGCTGAGGGAACAAAGCCAGAGCACAAGACAGAGCGAGAGACAGAGCAGCAGGCTTCCTGGCCCACAGAACCAGCAAATCTGAAAGTGCCCCTTGGGCAACTTTTGACAGTGTAGAAGAATTGATGCATTCGAGTTATGGTGTTGGAAGAGAATACTGAAAGTGCCAT